TATTGGCTGTGTGTTCTTGTACAGCCTGAATGGCTGGTGACCTTTTTCCATAATACCTCATTATATCCTTCCCAGAATTGTGAGTTCCTGGAACTACAGGAATGTTAATCTGGGTATTCCATTGCTGTAGCAGGTCACGGCCCCATAAATTTATTGCAATATTTGCTATATATGGCCTTAATCTTCCTATTTGCCCTTCAGGCCCTATGCATTCCACCCATCTTGTGCTTTGTTTTACACGAGATAGGGTTCCAATTCCCAGGAACTGAACATCTACCTCATGAAGAGGCCAATTCGGATGCCAGGATTCTGGAGTAATTATACTTACATCCGCACCTGTGTCTAATAAGCCTTCAATAAAAATGCCATTTATACAGACTCTTAGCTTTGGTCTTTGATCGTTAATATACGTTTGCCAAAATATACGTTTACTCTGTCCTCCTGAATTTTTTGACTCATTCTCCACATGTAATTCATCATTTAGACCAGTATTACCTTTTATGGCAGACATTGGAGTTTTTAATTTTCTTGGTGAGACACATTTTCGACTGTAACTGGGAATGACTGGGCCACTTTTGGCTTGGGGGCCTGCGAGAGGCCCCTCAAGGAGTTTCCCGATGGTATCGGGTTGCCTTGTCTGTCTGTTGTTGACCTGCATTCGTTGGACCAATGTCGGCCTTTACCGCATCTCCTGCATATACCTGAAGGCTGAGATCTCCTACTTTTGTCATTCCCAGAGGAGATATTATTCCTAGGATTTCTTTGCCTGCGATCCCTTTTCAGATGTCCTAATTTACCACAATTAAAACACCTGGTAGTTTGATGTCTCCTCATAGCTTTGGAAATCGCTTCTCCTACCCAGGATTCATCATTATAGCTAAACATCTCAACATTCATTGTATGCTGTATCCATTCTTCCATTGGTGCTGATCTAGATCTTAAAGGCCCAATTATCTTTTTACATTCAGTATTTGCATTTTCAAAAGCTAGAGATTCAAGAAGTATTCGTCTAGCTTCTGGGTCTGTTACCCCTATGTCCAGAGCCTTAATTAATCTTTGCACAAAGTCAGTAAAGGGTTCTCTCTGTCCCTGCCTAACCCTGGTATATGATTCGACCCTTTTTGCTGGATCTTGTATTCTATTCAAAGCATTCAAGGCTGCTTTGTGACATAAGGACAGCACTTCTTCATCATAAAGAGCTTGGACCTGTGGATCAGCATATGCTCCTACACCAAGAATTTGATCTTGGGAAACCTCCACACCTTTTGCTCTTCCTTGCTGTTCCATATGTTTGGATTCTTCTCTGAAATAAATTCCAAACATCAAGGAAGGCCCATCATCTAAAACTGCAGACACTAGCTGAGAGAAATCATGGGGGGTAGCTCTGACATTAGAAGCCCAAGTCCTTATCATTTCCTTAACAAATGCAGAGTGCAAGCCAAAGTTAACGACAGCTTGCTTAATTTCTTTTAAATCATTCATTGCTATTGGTGTCCATCTAGCTTCTTTAACTCCCTTTGAGCCTTTGGAAGTTAACCCTTTGTCAGAATAAATTACAGGGTATGTTGTTAGGACCCTGGGTAAGCCAGTTCTAACAGCTGGTGGTGGCATTGTATCCTGTCCTTGTGCCTTCTTACTCTGTTCACCAGCTCCAATAGTTTCTTCAATCATTTCTAATCTTTTTATCATTGTATCCCTTAAATCCTGAATCTCCTGACCTACCCATGTTTCTAGTAATTTCACTAAGGTATCAGTTTTTTGGTTCCCATTCTGGAGGTTCATTCTATCTGTTACCTTATCAAAACTTTGTGGTAACGTCTGAACGTCAAATTCAACAGCCTGTACCCTTTCAGGTAACTTCCTAGTACCCTTGGACATGGAGTCAATTTTGTCTATCATAGTATCCACTTGTTCAGATAACCCCTGATTTTCAATAATTTTAATCCTTTCAACTAGTTGTTCAATATTAGTCCGTAAAAATCGTATCTTTCTTAATGATAAAATATTGAAAAGAAAACTGAAACCTAGTAACAAGTAAATTAATATATTCCCATAGTCATATAAACCTTGCATGACATAATCCATTGTATTAATAAAGAAAACAGTAAAATTGGCGTTGGAAACAAAAACTGCCATATTACCTCTTGTCTAGTTGGCGGCGCTGTTGCCAAGTTGCGACTAGAACCACTGCAAAGGTGACTTAAACAGGTCCTGTTTCAGTGTCTGCCTTAGTATTTGTTAAAAACTAGGAAATATAAGTTGCTCAAGAAAGAAAGTTTAATTAAATCAATTCCATACACGGAACCAGAAACCCAGAATCCAGGGGTAGAAAAGAGCAACCCGGAAGCCGCGTATGCCTCCACGTGACCGAGTCGTTCTGATTCACGCCACTAAAGCACCGCACTTACAAGGGAAATTTAAAAACAACTCAGAAAAGAGCAAACCAGGCAGGCAGAGACTGTCCCGAGCCTGTGGAGCTTGGGAGGCGTGGGGTTTAACTGAACTGCTGGCTCCACACACAGGGCACAGGCCGCAGCTGAGGGAGGTCTCGTGACTAGCCGAGCTGGTAGCAAGCAGTTGAGTGGGGGGGAAGGGGGGGTTCTACAACCAAACGTGGGGCGCCAGATGAAGGCGTAAGTCACAGACAATCCCACACCAGTTTGGAATTATGATTAATAGAATGGTTATTTATTCAAAGGGGAAAAAACTTACAGATTACCGTCCCAGACAACAGCCCCTCCACGCGAACAGGAAAGGAGTCCAGGGGCCGGAAACGGAGCCGGAAGACAAAGACAGAGTGGAGGACAGCCGCTGCTTTTTTTAAAGGGAGAGAGACCACGCCCCAATGGGCTGGTAACTCAGCGGCGATTGGCTGAAGGAGCTGAAGGAACTCCCACAGCAAACTTACAGCGAAAAATGACTACATTTGAAAAACAGCTCCATGGATCAAAGGAGAACACAGGACTGTAATAAGCAGAGTCCTAGAACATAGTTAAAGAGGTTTGCAGAGTCAGAGCCTGGAACTTGTGGGGTCAAATTCTTAATTACTGATTTATGCTCCATGTTGCCCTACTGGCAGATATCCTCACTCTTCAAAGGACAAAGAGCTGCTATTCTGGACTGAAACCAACATTTCTAAATTAGAAGTCTTGATCACAGCACATCTGGATTGTTGACCACAACTATAGAGTCTCCGTCTTACCTATGTGGCAGGTGATATTGATAGTGCACAGACAAAAGGCTGGCAACCAATGCACTGTGCATCTTGGGGACATAAATGAGGACTTCAGATTCTTGGGACAGATAGTTATGGGCATCTTTACTAAAACATTCAGACAGCAACACTGCCTCTCTTATGCTTTTCTCTCATAATGAAGCCAACTCCAAAGGATCCACAAGATGTCTTTTCCGAGCCAGGCGTGGAGGGCACATGCCTTTAATCCCAGCACTCAAGAGGCAGAGGCAAGTGAATCTCTGTGAGTTTGAGGCCAGCCTGGTCTACAGAGTGAGTTCCAGAACAGGCTCCAAAACTACACAGAGAAACCTTGTCTCAAAAAAAAAAAAAATGTTCTTTTGGGCTATACTACTTAATAAAGAGCCAGCAGGTCTATGACTCCTCAACACCTTCACTTGTAGTAAAATGTCTCTCAGAACACCATCTTTCAAAATTTCTCGCCTTACGATAATTTCAGAACAAATGTCCCTTACTGGCAGCACCTGCTGAAGAGCCCAACCGTCCAGAGGAGCCGGGACACCTGTGGAGGGGCGTGCTTGGAAGAGCTCTTTCATTAGAAGTGTGTGTGTGTAAAAGTGTTTTTCCCACATGTATGTATACCATGTGCATGCCTGGTGACGGAGGAGGTCAGAGAGGATATTGGATGCCCTGGAACTGGAGTTACAGGTACTGGCGGTTTTGAGTTGCCAGATGGGGGCTGGGAATTGAACCCTAGTCTTTTGTAATAGCAGTACAAGCTCTTAACTCCTGAGCCATCTCTTCAGCCTCCTCTCTTCCATTTATTTATTCGTTTGTTTGTTTGTTTATTTATTAAAGGAGTACCTGGATATGTACTTTTATCCTGTAACTCTCTGAAATCCTCCTGCCTCAGCATCTCCAGTGCTGGGCTGACTGACACGTATCTGTTACCCTATTAGCCTTAAGTTATGTTTTTCATTCTATTCTATGTTTTTATTTTACTTTGGGCGGAAGTTCTTTTTCTGACTTGTGTTGTTATTAATATTTTAAGGGGTGAATTTTTCCGTATCTCAATAAAGCTGTTATAATTTATTTAGAGACAAGGTCTCACTGTGTAACCCCAGCAGGCTTGGAACTTGCTATACAGACCAGGCTGTCCTTGAACTCAGACCACCTGAAGACAGGTACCACACTGCTAGTTCATTTCTGATTCTTTACGCTGAGTACATGCTAGAATAATGTTTTGGAAACAATAAATACATTACTGAAGTAAATTTCACTTAAAATTTTTTTTGGTTGTTGCACTAAGTGTTATGGCCATAGGCCACCTTGTACTCTCAACCAGACCGGACACAAGCCACATTCTGGAGCCTGTGTCCTTTCCTCTGCTTGCCTTGAGCACAGACCCGTCCCCCAAATCCTGGGGCCAACTGGAAAGGCGCGACATCAAGGGCGGAGCCAGAGCACCGTTACTAGGCAACCGCGATTGCCCCGCCTCTCCCCTTAACCAATCAAGTGCTTCCACAGCCAGCGTAGGCACGTCGGGTACCGCGTGACCTCCTTTCCCGCCTCCGCCAATCAAAACAGAGATTCTGGTGTGCGCCTGGCGTGCGCCGGTCCGGTCGCCCAGCAGCGCGTCTTCCCCGCCCCACCCCCCACTCCGCAGGGCCTGCTCTTGGTTCGGTAAACGGGGTTCGGAGCCGGCCCCCGGGCACCTGAGTGTTCCGCCACGCGCCCCGAGACACGTCTCTTCCCCGGGGGACTTCCGGAGGGGAAGTCGTGAGGGAAGCGGCAGCGGAATACGCACCTGAGGGCCCTGCCGTGCGGGCCGCGCCGGGGGTCTGAAGCCTGGGCTGCGCGTGCGCAGCGGCCCTGGTCTGGCGGCGGGAGCGCGCACGGAGAGGGAGGTTGGGCCGGCGGTGCCTCCTCTCCGCCGGCCTCTTTACTCTCCTTTTTTCCTTTTTTATTAGATTTTTTTGTCTTTTTTTTTTTTTTTTTTTTTGCCCTTATGTTTGCTGTCCAGAAGGTCGGTTTTCCGCGAGTCTCCTAAGCACCCCTAGTGGGGACGGCCACTTCCGGTGCGCTGCGGCGCTGTTTCCGCGAGGCCGCCAGCTGGAGTGCGTGGCGCGGACGTGTCCCCGCGCCGCCTCCTAATATGCTTGGGCTTTCTTGATACACGAATATCTTTAAATTTGGCTTTGAGTGCTCTCACGTGCTTGTGGAGACCAGGACGTTGCCTTTCCTTTAAAAAATTGTTGCTAGTGCCTGGAATATGTAGATGTTTGCACGGATGCATGCCTCGGGAGCTATTCCCAAGGCAACGTCTGCTTTTAAGTGTTTTGCCAGTATGTGCGTGTGCACCACGGGAAGGCTAGGAAAAGTCTCGGGGATTGGCACCGGAGTTAAAGATGGGTGTGGAGTTGTGTTATGCCATGTCAGTGCTGGAAACTGATCTGGGGCCCACAGCAAAAGCAGCAAGTGTTCTTAACCACTGAGCCACCTTCCTGGTCCCATTTTATGAGGGTTTCGGTTTCTCCGCTTTAAAATTTATATAAAAAGGGGCTGGAGAGATGGCTCAGCTGTTAAGAAAGACCAGAGTTGGATTCCTAACATCCATGTCAGGCAGGTCACAAATGGCTGTAACTCCAGCTCCAAAGGATCAGAAGCCTCTGGCCTCTGCAGGCAATCACAAGTGCTTAAAATATGGACTCTTAAAAAAGTATTTTTTAAAAAGGTTTAATGCTGGGTGTGGTGGTCCATGGCTTTAATACCAGCATTACAAGGCCGAAATAGGTAAATCTCAGTGAGTTTGAGGCCAGCCTAGTCTACATAGAGAGTTTCCGGCTGGCCACCCCTACATAATGAGACCCTGTCTCAGAATAAAATAAAAAATAACACCTCGTAGATATCCGGAAAAACTGTATGTACAGTCTCCAAAGTTAGTATTTTCCCATTTTTTTTTTAAAGATTTTATTTATTATGTATACAGTGTTCTGTCTGCATGTACACCTGCAGGTCAGAAGAGGGCACCAGATCTCATAGATGGTTGTGAGCCACCATGTGGTTGCTGGGACTTGAACTCAGGACCTCTGGAAGAGCAGTCACTACTCTTAACCTCTGAACCATCTCTCTAGCCCCTTGCCCATGTTCTTGAGCCAGCTATAATGAATTCTTTTCTCCCAGGTCACAAGTGAATCCCGTCACTAGATCCTGTGGTTATCCCTCAGGCTGCAAATCCCTTGCTCTCCAAACTTGTCAAAATCAAGTCACTCACCCTTGCAACATGTGGCCTTCCAGGACAGCGATCGGTGGTGGTTCTTGCTCCCACAACCCTCTTTTCCCCACTCTCTCAGTACTTCAACATTCCTACTTTCTGTCTCGAGTCTGCGGTTTACCCCCAGTCCTTGACTCATCTTACCTAGTTTAAGGATTGTTAAACACCGTTTACATAATTTGTATTGTTTTGTTGTTGCTTTTCAAGACACGGTTTCTCTGTGTAGCCTTGGCTGTCCTAGAACTTGCTCTGTAGAGCAGGCCGGCCTCGAACAAACGGAGATCTGCCTGCCTTTGCCCTTAAGTGCTGGGTTTAAAGACCTATGCCACCACTGCCCAGTCTAGACCCTTCCTCTGAACTTCAGATCTATGTAAACAACTGTCTGTTTTGAAATCTCTGCTTGGGAGATGATCAGCCTGTGGAATGACATGGCCCACCCTCTCCCCATCTCCAGCAGTCCTCTATCTCAGCCAGGAGTTTTAGCCCATGATGCTTGACCTCACTGGCTTAGACAACTTCCTGGGAGTAGGAGCAAGTGCCGAGGGACCTGTTTCATTTCCTGATAGTCAGGAAGCAGAGGAAGGGAATAAGAGAGAGAAAAGGGAGGGAGGGAGAGAAGGAGGAAGTAGAGAGAGAGGAAATGAGAAAGGAGAGAAGAGGACAGAGGGGAAAGAGGGAGGAGGAGACAGAAAATACAGACTGACATTGGGGCTGGAGAGATGACTCCAAGGTTAAAAGTACCGACTGCTCTTCTGAGGGATCCAGGCACCCACACGGCAGCTCACAATTGTCTGTAACTCCAGTTCCAGGGGACCTGACACCCTCACAGGCATACATGTAGGCAAAACACTAATGTTCATAAAATAAAAATAAAAATAGTCATCAGCTGGGGAATCAGGTTTTCAATACATGAGCTTTGGGGGAAGATACTTTATTTACCCCAGACCACAACAGCTGGTTAATTTTTTTCCTGTTTTCTTTTTTTAAATTTGTTTATTTACTATGTATACAGTATTCTGCCTGCACATATGCCTGCAGGCCTTCAGATCTCATTTCAGATGGTTGTGAGCCACCATGAGGTTGCTGGGATTTGAACTCGGGACCTTTGGAAGAGCAGCCAGTGCTTTTAACCACTGAGCCATCTCTCCAGCCCGCTTTTTTCCTGTTTTTGAGATAAGGTCTCTACTTAGCTCTGGCTGCTCTTAACTCTGTAGAGCAGGCTGGCCTTGAACTCACAGAGATCTATCTCTGCCTCCTGACTGCTGGGATTAAAGGTTTAGGCTACTACACCTGGGTAGATGTGCACACACACGCACCTGCACACACACCCCCTACATCTCAGGAAGCAGAAGCAGGCCAATATCTGAGTTCAAAGCTATTCTGGTGTATACAGCAAGTTCTAGGTCAGCCAGAGCTACATATGGAGACCCTGTCTCAATAGTAATAAGCTACGCAATGCAACCATAAAAGATCAGTCTCAACAAGAAAGGACCAAATAAGAAAAACAAATAATGTTTAGCAACAAGCAGAGTGCAGGGCCCACTCGGGCCGATGCCCGACACCCTCCATGACACACTGGTGAACGCTGCACTAACGAGCAGGAGAACTCAAGGTTGTCAATGCCGTTTATATAGTGTCTCTCAGTTAGCTCATCAATTTAATGAAACCCCAGTGAGAAAACCCAGTGGGACTTTTTAAAAATGCTGCTTGACAAGATGACTTCTTAGCTTATATGCAAGTAAATGTTATGAATAGCAAAGTCAGGTCTGTGAGAACAGAACAGAGATCAAAGCAAGGGGAGCTGAGTGACAACCCGAACACACGACACAGCAGCGGAAACCTTGTCATAGAATTGCTGAGCTTTCCCCTCCACCTCTGTTGTTTTGAGACCAGGTCTGATGTAGCTCAGGCTGGCCTCACATTCATTATGTAGCCAAGGATGACCAGGAAGTCTTTACCTTCCTGCCTCTACCTCCCAAGTGCTCGGATGACAGCCTTGCATCCCCTTGCTCAGCTTCGTCGTGGCATTTCAAACACTGAGGTTATGTTTATGGTAGATAATAGATTATTTTGGGGTGATGAAGTATTCATTTGGCCTCATGCAGTGGCACACACCATTAATCCCAGCACTTTGGAGGCAGAGACAGAATCACTGTTGAGTTCCAGGCCAACCTGGTCTACACAGTGAGTTCCAGGCAAGTCAGGGCTATACAGTCAGGTTTTGTTCCAAAAAGAAAGGAACGTGTATGAACAGTATTAGTTGCAGGGTGGTGAGATGGCTCAGAGGGTAAAGGCACTTGTCTTTTGAGTATTAAATCCTTGGAAACTACACGGTGGAGGAAGAGAAGCAACTCTCAAAAGATGTTCTCTGATTTTCACACCTGTGCATGCACCCCTATATACAAGTGTATAAATGAAATGTATTTTATTATTTTTTAAATTGCGACTGGGCTTGGAAATCCTTGCTTGTACTCCTGGCTCCCAGGAGGTAGAGGCAGGAGGATCAGGAATTCAAGCAACATAGCAAATTCAAGGCCAGAGGCTACATGAGATCCTCTTTCTTTCTTTCTTTCTTTCTTTCTTTCTTTCTTTCTTTTCTTTTATTTTCTTCCCTCCCCTCTTTCTTTCTTTCTATTTTTCTTTTTTAGTTTTTTGAGACAGGGTTTCTCTGTGGCTTTGAAGCCTGTCCTTGAACTAGCTCCTGTAGACCAGAGCTGGCCTCGAACTCACAGAGATCCACCTGCCTCTGCCTCCCAAGTGCTGGAAGTAAAGGTGTGCGCCACCACCGCCCAGCTGAGACCCTGTTTCAAAAAATAACACAAATGTTTACTTTTGTGAGGCTGTGGAGAGAACTCCGGCCTTGCACAGGCTAGGCAAGCACTCTACCACTGAAATACACTTCTGTAATTGTAGGTAGATCTCACTCTGAACCTGCCTATTGTGATCTGTCTGGCGAACGGGAACAAAATTGATGGGCAAGCACTGCCACCTAGTGGCCACAATTCACAATGTACCCGTCCTCTTGTTTTCAATTTTTTTTTTGTTTTGTATTTTTGAGACACGGTTTCTCTGTGCAGTCCTGGCTGTTCTGGAACTCACTCTGTAGACCAGGCTGGTCTCTAACTCACAGAGATCCACCTACCTCTGCCTCCCAAGTGCTAGGATTAAAGGCAAGTGCCACCATCACCTGGCTAATTTTTAAAGAATTATTTTTATTTATGTGTATGTGTGCATGTCTGTATGAGTGAATGGCACGTGTGTTCAAGATCCCATGGAGATCAGAAGAGGGTGTCAGATCCCCTGGAGCCGGAGTTACTGGTGATTGTGAGCCACCTGATGTGAGTCCTGGGAACCAAACTTGGGTCCTCTGTAAGAGCAGCAAGCATTCTTAAAAGCTGAGACATCTCTCTAGCCCACCTTCCCGTCCCTCCCCCCCATTTGAAATAAAGTCTCACCAGGTAGCCTTGGCAAGTCTGGAACCCACTGTGTAGACCAGGCAAATCTATATGTGCCTCCTGAATGCTGGGATCAAAGGTGTTTAGCTCCTTGTTCCTAATTTTACATTTTACACCAAAGACTTCTTTCTTTTGACCTCTTTTTTCTGATTTTTCTTTTTCTTTCTTTTTTCTTTTTTTCCTTTTTCCTTTTCTTTTCTTTCTTTCTTTCTTTCTTTCTTTCTTTCTTTCTTTCTTTCTTTTCTTTTTTCCCGAGACGGGGTTTCTCTGTATTCTCTATAGCTTTGGAGCCTGTCCTGGTGAAAGACCTGGATAAATCCAGACCCCTCTAGCAGAAAAAAAAATAGAGCCAAAAATCTAAGCAGGGAGAGAAGATTCAAAAATCTAGATTAACCCATTCAGTGACTCTGTTTCAGGAACTAGCTGAAGATAAAGTTAGGTTATAATCTCGAGAAATAGGGAGTTACCCCCTTGTGATTATCATTGGTATTTTCGGAATTTTCCAATGACACATTCCCTACCCCCTTTGGATGGTTGCTCCCCTTAAATACTCCTTCTCCCAGCTATTCAGGGTCGAACTCTCTACCTCTGCATGGGAAATGAGTTTCGGCCCCAGTGCACTGGATCCTGTCCTGTCAATAAACCTCGTGTGATTGCAGCAAGGAACAGTCTCTTGTGAGTTCCTGGGGGGTCGTGTTATCCCGAGACTTGAGTGAGAGTCTCCCTGATCTGGAGGTCTTTCACTGGAACTAGCTCTGGTAGACCAGGTTGGCCTTGAACTCACAGAGATCCGCCTGCCTCTGCCTCCTGGGGGCTAAGATTAGGGTCTCACTACGTCAACCTGACTGGCCTGGAACTTGCTCTGTAGACCAGGTTAGTCTTGAACTCATAGATTTGCCTGCCTCTGCCTCCTGAGTGCTGGGATGAAAGGTGTGCACCACCACCGCTGGGTTTTCCTTTTGTCAGATAGTCTTTGAAATCCTGATCCTTGGGCTGGAGAGATGGCTCAGAGGTTAAGAGCACTGGCTATACTTCATGTTCAATTCCCAACAACCACATGGTGGCTCACAACCATCTATAATGAACTATGGTGCCCTCTTCTGGCCTGCAGGGACTTGCAGGCAGACCACTTATTATTTACTTAATAAGTAAATAAATCTTAAAAAAAAAAAAAAAGAAATCCTGATCCTCCCTAAAGGCATGGCAGATGTGCACCACCATACATGGCTAAGAGCTATTTATTTAATTATTTATTTTTAGATTTATTTATTATGTATACTGTGTTCTGCCTGCATGTATCCCTGCAGGCCAGAAGAGGACACCAGATCTCATTATAGATGATTGCGAGCCACCATGTGGGTGTCAGGAATTGAATTCAGGTGCTCTGGAAGGGCAGCCAGTGCTCTTAACCTCTGAGCTCTCTCTCCAGCCCCGAGCTGTTGATTTTTAAGTTTTCTTTGCAGTGCTCAGGCTTACAGATAGTGGGCAGAATGCTCTATAGCTCAGCCATGCCCAGTTCTTCACTGGGGGATTCTAAGCAAGGACTCAACCACTCAGTCATATCCAAACTCCAAGTGAGTTTGAATAATTGCTTTGATATTGTCCCATGATGTTGCCCAGGCTGGCCTGGGACCCTTGATTCTCCAGTCCCAGCATTCATAATGCTGGCATGACAGGGGTGTGCCATCACATCTACTCTACACTCATTCATTGGTCCCGATTTTTACATCATCGTCTCACTTCATCTTCCTAATCACACAAGAATGAGCACCTTGACAGGATATTCAGTCAGGAAAGACACCTTGGCATCTGTGAACTGTCCTCACCCCCTTTCACTCTGTCCTCCATAAGCCACGTCTTTTGTTGTTGTTGATGGTGGGTTTTTTTTCCCCCATATGTAAAAGCAAAGAGCCTTTATTTTAATCAAGTTTGCAAACTCGGTCTCTCCACAAGTCCAACATATTGGAATATCCAGAGAGCCCTGAGCTCAACTAGATTTTGTTGTTGTTTTTCCCAGACGAGGTTTCTCTGTATTTCTCTGGCTGTCCTGGAACTTTGTAGTCCAGGCTGGCTTCGAACTCACAGAGACCTGCCTCCCTCTGCTTCCTGAGTGCTGGGATTAAAGGCATGTGCCACTACCGCCCATCTCATGGTCCACATCTTAAGGGGCACATGTATCCTCCCATCTTGCCTTGGCTCCTGCAGGGTTGGATTAACTTTACTTTCAGTGTGTACCAGGAAGTGAGGCCCCTCCTTATGAGTATTGAGTGTCTTTCTCTGCCAAGCTCTGCTCTACTGAGACCTGACCAGAAGATTGACCTAGAGGCTATAAACGGAGGCTGCCGAATCTTGTGTCTGTGTCTGTTGGGAAGCATCCACTTTGTGGACGGGTTTTACCTGTTTTCTAAGCAGCAGATGGCTTCTCCTTGTTTTGCATAGGCAGCATGTTCATAAAAAGCAGAGGCCAGCTGGCTACTCACCTTCTCGGTACTTTGTATCCCACTGCAGTGCAGAGCTCTGTCGAGCTCTTTCCTGGCTACCCCACCTTTTTATTTACTTTGCATCGATTTTGTGTAAATGTGTGTGGACACGTCCATGATCCGGAGCCGGTTTGGAGGCCAGAGGACAACTTGCAGGAGTCAGTTCTTCCCTCTGCCATGTGGATCCTGTGGTTTGGATCTCACCTGTCCCCAGTTTATCCCCTTATCTTTCTTCCTCTTCTTTTATTTATTTATTTTTTGGTTTTCTTGAGAGAGGGTTTCTCTGTGGAGCCCTGGATGTACTGGAACTTGTTCTGTAGATCAGGCTGGCGTCAAACTCACAGAGATCCTTCTTGCCTCCTGAGAGCTGGGATTAAAGGTGTGCACCACCACTGCCCAGCTATCCCCATATCATATTGGTGGACTTTCCTTTATAAAACAGCCCCACATCCCAGAATATTAAGTACATAATGGTAGATACACATGGTCTAGATATGTAACATATTCTATACACTTTGAGTTTATCTTGGGATTAGTTAAAATTGGATGAATTATGGGGCTTCAGATGTAGCGCAGCCGACAGAGTGCTGGCTCAGCATGCAGGATCCTCTGGGTTCTGTTCCAGGACTGCATCAGCTGGGTGTGCTGGTGCACGCCAGTACCTCTAGTGCTGAGGATAGGTGAGAAGATCAGGAGTTCAAGGCCATCCTGGGCTACCTAGTGAACTTATGCTCAGCCTGGGCTGCATGAATCCCATCTGAAGAAAGAAAATAAGTTCCTGTTTATCAAGCAATAAACAGTGAGGATGAGCAGAGAGAGCCAGGGAGGAAAAGGTTTGTTCTCTGCATTAGAGCCTGGCATTTGGGATGCCCTGTCATGGACTTTAGCCCTTTGTTGTTGTTATTTTAATTTTTTTTACTGTGTTTTGAGACAGGTTTTCTCTGTGTAGCTTTGGTTGGCCTTGAACTCACAGAGATCTGCCTGCCTCTGTCTTCTGACTGCTGGGATTAAAGGCAGGTACTGTTTACAAAAACAATCTCATTTCATAGACTGAAAATTTCCGTTTAGCCTTTCATTCTGAAGCTGAGATCCAAGGGGCTAAGAAAGACACACAGAAGTCAGGTACAGTTCAACCAGGGTTGGATCTGGCAGGGTGGCATGGGTCTGTAATCCCAACACTGAGGCTGAGGTAGGAGAATTGCAGTGAGTTAGAGGCTAGCCTGGCCTACAGAGTGAGACCCTGTCTCAAAAAAAAAAAAAAATCAGAGAGTTGGAGAGGGGCTCATCAGTTAAAAACATTGCTTTGTTTCCCCGAGGGCCAGGGTTCTGTTTCTAATATTCAGATGGGCGCTATCAACTGTAACTCCAGTTCCAGAGGATCCAATACACACATGGTGCACAGACATACTTGCAGGCAATACAGCCATATACCTGAAATAAAGTAGCCAAAATAAAATACATCAACCAACCAGCGCTGGGTGTAGAGGCACACACTTTAATTTCACCACTTGGGAGGCAGAGGCAGGTACACATCTGAATTTGAGGCTAACCTGCTCTACATAGCAAGTTCCTGGCTAATTAGGGCTAAATGAGACCCTGTCTCAAACAAGCAAGCAAAACATATTAAAAGATTTCTTCTCTTCCAGGCTGGCTTCCAATTTGCAGCAATTTGCCTCAGCCCTAGAACTGGGGTTACAGATGGGGTTACAGGCTACCTTTCCCATTTTAGCTTCAGTGAGATAAGCATCTAGGATGCTTCCTCTAACTCATTTCAGTATTTATAAAAACAATTCGTGGGGCTAGGAGAGTGGTTCAGTGTTGGCCTATACCCTAAATATGTGTGAGGCCCTGGGTTCAATCCCTAGCAAATTGAAATTTCTAGAACTTGAAAAGGGGCAGGAAGAAGCATAGGGCGGCAACACTTCACAGGCATCTTCAAATAATACCGGGACACTCATTTAAGTCCTCAGCCCACGGATAACGATGGTAAAGCTATAGATTTCCCACAGTGTTTGCTTTCATCTAGGAGTAGCTCTGCTAGGACCTCCTCAAAGACTTTACCATCTTCCAATAGTAAATATGGCTGCATTTCCCTAAGCGCTTCGCCTTCAGCCAGTAGTAAGTATGGTCGCATCTACTTCCGCCAGGCTGGGGGTGGGTGGGTCAAGGGTGATGCAAGATGGCGGCGCACATAAGCGGCTAAGGCGTGGAGTGGAGAATGCTGGCGGCGGCCGGGACTCTTCTGGGGCGGCGGCTGAGATGGCCGGCACCGGCCCGCGAGCACTGGAGAGCGGCCGGGAGCTCACGGAGCCGGCGTGAGGCGGCCGAGGCCGAGGCGGACGCGCCAGTGTTCCAGTATGTGGGTGAGCGCGCGGTCCGCGCCGATCGCGTCTTCGTATGGGGCTTCAGCTTCTCGGGGGCTCTCGGAGTGCCCAGCTTCGTGGTGCCGGCCTCGGGGCCCGAACCCCGCGCTGGGCTGCGGCCCCGACGCAGAATCCAGCCGGTACCTTACCGCCTGGAGCTGGACCAGAAGGTGAGGGCCCCGGCATCCTTACGGCCTCCCGTAGGGGACATTCTTCCCTAGGTGGCCGGACTTCCGGGAGCTTGACCTCCTAGTTCTTGGCATTTGTTGGGGAAGGCCAAGAAGATTGTTTATCTCAGTCCTCTGCTTTTGACTGCTGAACTTGCTTCGGTGTCTTAGCATTTTGTGTGTGTGTGTGTGTGTGTGTGTGTGTGTGTGTGTGTGCAGTTTGCTTGTGGCTAGAGAAAGTTTTGGTCTTCGTTTATTTTTCTTGCCAGATTGCATAGGTTGACAACCACATCAGCTGTTCTGCACATCTTGGATTATTTGCTCAGCATGCCAGGAGTCTCGCCTCCAGTTACGGGGATGAAAGGGGGTCCCAGAGAGGTTAAGAAAGGCCCAAAGCCCCCTCAGCTGTTAGCGTAGAAATGGTGCTATTTGTACTCAGGCTAGAGAGACGCCGTGAGGTCAAGAGATGTGTTGACTGGAGTAAGTGATGAACAGCTAGGAAAGGAAATGTCAGTGAGCAGTTGGCGAGAGAAGCTGGGAGATTGCTCATGGTGCCTCTGAAGGTGCTTACATTTGAAAAGGGCTCAGTAGGTCTGCTGTGGTGGCCAGACCTGTAGTCCAGGACTGGACAGTTGAGACAAGAGGATTGGCACAAGTTGCAGACAGGCTTGGGCTACATAGTGAGACCCTGTCTCTACCTACTTTCAGAATGCTGAGATTACAGCTGTGTGCCACCGTTTCTGGTTGGAGTGGTGCTGGGGATGGAACCCAGGGCTTTATGCATGCCCTGCTAGCACTATATCAGCTGAGCTACATCCCCAGCCTGGATTTTTTTTTTTTTTTGTAAACAGTGTGAGATGAGGGTCTCCATCTTTTTGCTTGTAGCTACCTAGTTGTGCTAGCATCTTTAGTTATAAAAACAAACCACCCTTTCTTTTGGGATTATTTATTGACATTTTATAGAAGTACAGTTTTGTTATTGTCTGTAGTGGTGGGAATCAAACCCAGAATTGTGTCATGCTAGGCAAGCATTCTACAGTGAGCTATACCTCCAGCCCTACAGGTTTCTTGTTTGTTTCCTTTTGGTTTATTATTATTTTATTATTTTGGTTTTTCAAAACAACAGGGTTTCTCTGTGTAGCTCTGGCTGTCCTGGAACTCACTCTGTAGATCAGGCTGGCCTCAAACTCACTGGGATCTGCTTGCCTCTGCCTCCCAAGTGCTGGGATTAAAGGCATGTGGCCACTGCTACCCAAGTGGTATATAAGTCTTCTACTTTGTGGCGTTGCTGAACTTGTTAAAGGTTCTATAGGTTTTTAAAAAATATATATATATATTTATTTATTATGTATACAATATTCTGTCTGTGTGTATGTCTGCGGCCAGAAGAGGGCACCAGACCTCATTACAGATGGTTGTGAGCCACCATATGGTTACCGGGAATTGAACTCAGAACCTTTGGAAGAGCAGGCAATGCTCTTAACTGCTGAGCCATCTCTCCAGCCCGGTTCTATAGATTTAAAAAAAAATTTTTTTTAATGTGTATTGTAGCATGAGGGCCGGCTTGTTGGGGTTTCCGTCCCGCCCGGTACCCCAACAGCCGGCAAATCCCAAAGAGAAATTACACACACAGAGAACTCTATAAGTTATAAAGCTGATTGGCCCATTAGGTCGGGCTACTTATTAGTTCTTATAACTTATATTAACCCATTATTCTCATCTATGTTAGCCATAATGGCTCCGTACCTTTCTCAGCTGGGCAAGTTACATGCTGTCTCTTCGGTGGTCTGCGCAGGAGTGGCTGAGGGCTTCTGCTTCCCAGAATTCTCCTGTTCTCATTGCATCACCTCTACTTCCTGCCTGGTTTTCCCACCTATACTGCCTGCCTGGCCAATCAGCATTTTATTAAAATATGATTGACAGAATACAGACAATTCTCCCACACCAGTGTATGGTGTTGCCTGTATGTGTGTCTGTATCACTTGTGTGCCTGGTGTCCATGGAGACCACAAGAGGATGTTAGAGCCTGTAGAACTGGAATTACAGATGGTCGTGTTTTGTGGAATATTACTTTAACTATGTAAAGATGTATCACATTTGTTTATGTTGCATTTGTTTAACATGTAAAGATGTGTGGCTTTGCCTGCCTAAGGCACCTGATTGGTTTAATAAAAAGCTGAATGGTCAATGGCTGGGCAGTAGAGGGATTGGTGGGGCTGACAGACAGAATAAGTAGGAGAGAAGAGAGAAAGAAGAGCACGGGAGATCCCCAGGGCCAGACAACTACCAGCCAGCCGGCCAGACATGGAGTAGGAAATACAGAATGAAAGAAAGGTAAAAAGCCCCAAAGCAAAATGTAGATGAAGAGAAACAGATTATAAGTTATAAGAGCTAGTGGGACAAGCTTAGGATAAGGCCGAGCATTCATAACTAATAGTAAGTCTCTGGTTATGATTTGCGAGCTGGTTAGTGGACCAAAAGAAAGCCTGCCGCAGTTGTGAGCCTCCATGATAGGTGTTGGGAATCAAACCCAGGTCCTCTGAAAGGACTAGAAGTGCTCTTAACCACGGAGCCATCCATCTCTCCAGCCTGTTCTTGGTTTGTTTATTTTGTTTCGTTTTCTCTATTATGTAGCTCTAGGTGTCCTGCGATTCACTTTGTAGACCAGGTTGGCCTAGAACTCACAGAGATCCACCCAACCCTGAGTGCTGGGATTAGAGGTGTGCTTCATTAGACCTGGCTCCAGCCCCTGTGCTTACAGACTTTTGTGCATTTCTTAGTGTTTTCTATGTGCAGGTGGCCTGTGGATAGAGGTAGCTTTCTGTCCTTTCTAATTGAATGCTTCATTTCTTTTTCTTGCTTGACTTAATGGCGTGGGGGAAACTTTCAGTATAGTGTTAAATTGAATTAGTAAAAGCTAACATTTTTTGTTTTTACTTTGAGACAGAGTTGATATGTAACCCAAGTTGGCCTCAATCTCAGGGTGTAGTCCAGACTGACATTAGAGTTGTGATCCCCCTGCTTCAGTACCCTCCGTGCTACCAGACGCAGTCTTGCCTAGTACAATTCTTGCTTGTTGGGCAAACATTTATGAACCTCTCCGCAGACTGTGGCTGAAGTCCCCTCCTGGTGTGTCGTCCTGTCAGGCTCTCACTTTAGCTGACTCTGCTAGACACTGGTCAGCGCCTTTCACACGTGAGCATATTAACTGAAGCCATGAGCCCGCCAAATATTTGTTGAGTGTTAAATAAATAGGCATCACTAAGCATGAGACTAATCTTCATGTGCTGAGTATAGTGTTTTTTTTTTTTTCTTTTTGAGACAGAGTTTCTCTGTATATAACAGCCCTGGTTGTCCTGCCTTAAACTCTAAAGAGAGAGTTCCTCCCAAGTGCTGGGATTAAAGGCATGCACCACCACTGCCTGGTTCTGGGCATAATTTTTTGTTTGTTTTGTGTGTGTGTGTGTGCTTTGCTTGTGCGTTTGTCTGTGTAACGCTTGCATGCCTGGCGCCCACAGAGGCCAGAAGAGGGCATCGGATCCCTTGGAACTGGAGCCGTGGCCCATTGTGAGCAGCCACATGGTGCTGGGAACGGAGCTCGGATCTTTTCCCTTTTCTCTCGTGCAATCCAGTTAGCTTCAGCCTCCCATGTGGGCCATCTCTGTGGAGCTCAAGCCGTGTCAGAAGTTTGGTGGCTCCAGGACGCTAGAAAATAAGGGTTTTGAGCAGAAGGACAGTACTATACATGTCTTGTATGAATCTTAGAAGGGAAACTGTCAGACTGCAGAAGTGGTTCAGCGGTTAAGAGCACTTCCTGAGTACCTGGGTTCATTTCCCACCACCCACATGGCAGCTTACAACTGCCTGTAATTCCAGTTTCAGGGGATCGGGTACTCTTACACCAATGTATGTTGAATAAAATAAATTAAAAAAAAAAAAAGAAGGGAAACTCATAAGGTGAAAAGAGGGTCATGTCACTTTGTTCAGTTGTGGCTGTCCTGGAACTCACTCTATAGACCAGGCTGGCCTCAAACTCAGAGGTCTGCCTGTGCTGGGATAAAAGCTATGTGCACCACTGCCCTGCTGACCTGTCACTGTCATTTTTGATGACACGATTACACAAAGCATCAACAATTTTTTTTCTAAGTTTTTTTTTTTTTTCCAAGATAGGGTTTCTCTCTATCGCCTCTACTGTCGTGGAGGTCAGTCTGTAGACCAGGCTGGCCTCTGTTTCCTGAATGCGGAGTTCAAAGGTGTGCACCACCACCACCTGGCAACATATTTTAATAACAAATTTAGCTAAGAAGTTGTGGAGACGGTTGAGCAGGTAACAGTGTGTACTGCCGGAGAGCACCTGAGTTCACTTCCCAGTACCCCAGCGGGGTGGCTCACAGTGTGACCCCAGCTGCAGAAAGTCCAGCACCTCTCCTGCACTCCGGGGGTACCTGAATGTGTGTGTGCATAGGCACGCACAGACACATCAATGAACGTAATAACTAAAAAGAAGTAGTTAGCTAGAACTAAAAACAAAAAGTATGCCTGGCCGGTTGTGGCTCATATCTGCAATGGCAGCAGTTAGGAGGCTGAGGCAGGAGGATTAGGAAGAGTGATACTCTTGCATTTTTGTTTAGGATCCAGTGAAATTCAGAGGGGTTCTCTGAGGGAGTTGGTGGGTCTCTGATAAACTCAGCTGCTGAGAGATAGTGGGGTGACACTAGGCTGGGAGCATATAATATGGGACATCAGGTGTGAAGTCGAGGGCAACCCTTGCTAGCTTGGGGTGTAGCTGCTGTGGGTCGTGTGGGCTGTGGGTTGTGTGGAGACGATTGATTTTAGAATGAACCCCTGGGTTCGGGTTACTTCTGGCCCCAGTTAGACTTAGTGCTCCCACTAGAAGTGACATTTCCTTCCCAAGCTGAGTTGCCCCAGTCAGTGAAAGTGAGGACCGGTGATGGTTTGGGTGAAAGACTGAACAAAGATGTGGGCGCTGTTAGTGTGTCAAGTTCACAGTAGCTATGACAACACCTTCTCTGCAAGGCCACGGGTTGAGGAGGTAGCAGCGTAGCATGGGCAGCGCTCTGGAATGAGACCCTGCACATTGTTGGCGAAGTCCGATGCTGTCTCCCGGAAAGGCTTTGGATGTATGACAACAACCCGGAGAGGAGGGCTTCTGTCATATCATTTTGTGTGCCTGTGGGTGAAGAGGTGTGTGCTCGTGGATGCATGTGCCCACGCATGCACATGCAGAGGCTGGACTGTCTTCATCTGTAGCTCTCTGCATTATTCTCTTGAGGTAGGATCTCTCACTGAACCGGAAGTCCTCAATCTTGCTGGACTGACTGGCCACTGAACTACTGGGATTTTCCTGTCTCTGCCCCATAACTGAGATTACAGCTACCACATGTAGCATGCCAGACTTTCGCATGGGCTGGGGATCTGAGTTCAGGTCCTCAAGCTTGCAGAACCAGCCCTCTTACCTACCGAGCCATCTCTCCAGCCCCTTATTTCCTTTAAAAAATTTGAACATTTATTCATTTTTATATGTGTGTGTGTGTGTGTGTGTGTATAACACATGCTTGTGTGTCATGGCACACTTGTAGAGGTCAGAGGACAGCTTGCAGGAGTCCGCCCTCTCCTTCCACCATTTCAGTTCTGGGGACTGATCTCAGATCATCAAGTTTACATGGCAAGTACCTTTATCTCTTAGGTCATCTGACTCAGCCTTGTTTTTCTCTTTTAGAGAGGACTATCTAGAGAGGATAAATAATCCCTCTCAAGATATGCAGCTGGTAGGGGGTAGGCCAAGAGTCACACTAAGCTGCCATGCTGGGCTGTGTCATAGTGAGCGGGATGAAAATGCCCAGTGTGCGATGTGCGTACAGAAGGAGAAAAGAGACGGCTAGCATGGCATGGGGGTGACTCCCGGTCGCTGTAGGAGTACATGAGTGCATGTAAATAGCTCGTCACTTTGTTTGTCTTGTTTTTCTTTTCTTTTCTTTTCTTTTTTTTTTTTTTTTGATTTTTGAGACAGGGTTTCTCTGTAGTTTTTGGTGCCTGTCCTGGAACTAGCTCTTGTAGACCAGGCTGGCCTCGAACTCGCAGAGATCCGCCTGCCTCTGCCTCCCAAGTGCTGGGATTAAAGGCGTGCGCCACCACCGCCCGGCCTTTGTCTTGTTTTTCAAGACGGGGTTTTTCTGTGTACCTCTGTAACCTGTCCTGGACCTCTCCTGTAGACCAGGATGGCCTCGAACTCACAGAGCTCCACCTTCCTTTGCCTTCCAAGTGCTGGAATTAAAGGCACCACTGCCCGGCAGTTTGTCATTTCTTGCTGAAAGAACTGACATCACAAATCAGTCCGTGGTACATTGTGGGAACTCTTTTTCAGATTTCCTCTGCTGCCTGTGGCTATGGATTCACACTGCTGTCCTCCAAAACCAAGGACATTACGAAAGTTTGGGGCATGGGACTCAACAAAGATTCTCAACTTGGATTCCACAGAAGCCGGAAGGATAAAAGTAAGCAGGTATCCTTGCCATAAGCTACAGCAGCAAACGAAGAGGGGTGTGTTAGTGTATGCCTCTAATCCCAACATAGGAGAGGCTGAGGGAGGAGGAGAAGCTTGAGTTGGAGGCCAGTCTGGGCTACATATCAAAGACTCAAGGGTTGAAGCCAGGGCTTGTGGGCTATTATTTTAACTGGGCAAAGATGTGTTACATTTGTGCTGCAAAAATATTACTTCAGCTGTGTAAAGGTGTGTTACTTTTGTTTCTGCTGCGTCTGTTGCAGATGTGTTGCGTCTGTTTCACCTTATTTGCCTAAAGCACTTGATTGGTCTAAGAAGAGCTGAATGACCAGTAGATAGGCAGAGAAAGGCTAGGAGGGGCTGGCAGGCAGAGAGAATAAATCGGAGAAGAAAAAGAGAAAAAACAGAAAGAAAAGAGGAGAGAATGAGGGACATGTCCGGGGCAAGAAACCAGGCAGCCAGCAGCCAGCCAGACGGGAGAAACAGCGAAAGTAAGATATGGGAAAGAAAAGTAAAAAGTCTTGAGGCAAAAGGTAGATAAAGGGAAACAGGTTAATTTAAATTAAAAGAACTAGCCAGAAGTAAGCCTAAACTAGGCCAAGCATTCATAACTAATAGGAAGTCTCCGTGTCATGATTTGGGAGCTGGTTGGTGGACCAATAGAAGAAGCCTGGTATAAGGTGTAGTGTGCACACCTATTTGAAATCCAGGATCTGGCGTTCAGAGTCATCCTTAGCCTTATAGTGCGTTTGAGGCCAGTCTGGATTACCTGAGACCTGTCTTAAAACAAGACAGCCACCCAAACCCAAATTAGATGAAGTCTTGGGGGATGTTTGCAACTCCTGGATTAAGTCATTTTTCAGTCTCTTTGGTAACAACATGGAATGGTTAGACAAAAAGTGTAGTGATATTTCATTTGTATTTTAATAAATAAAGCTTGCCTGAAGACCAGAATGTAAAGCAGCCACACGAGTCAGCCATACAGGCCAGGCAGTGGTGGCACACACCTTTAATCCCAGCAGCCACACGAGTCAGCCATACAGGCCAGGCAGTGGTGGCACACACCTTTAATCCCAGCAGCCACACTCGTTAGCCATAGAGGCCGGGTGGTGGTGGTGCACGCCTTGAATCCCAGCACTAGAGAGGATTATAAAATGGGATGAGACAGGAACTCACTCTCTTTCAGTCTGAAGATTTTGCAGAGGCAAGAGCTCTCCAGTGGCTGGCTGCTCTGCTTTTCTGATCTTCAGGTTGAATCCCAGTATCTGTCTCTGGGTTTTTATTAATCGTGCTACAGAAAAGAGGTAAGCACTTGCTGACCTGTGTGTCGCTTAGCATTTTGAAGTGCCTAGAGTGTGGTCTGTTGATATGACTTCAGTGGGTCAAGACCCTTGCTGCCAAGCTGGAAAACCCAAGTTTGACCTGGGACCCAGGCGGTGGAAGGAGAAAGCTGACTGCTCTCCCTGTCCTCTGACTGACGCCACATGCATACTGTGGCATGTGGATGTCTGTATTCACACGCTAAGTAAAATCCAAAGTTTAAAAGACCGAACGAAGTCATTACTCCCAGCGCTGGAAGCTGATTGTCATGTTAGGAAGAAGGCCTGCAGACATCGCTCAGCAGCTGCTGAGCTTGCACTGTTCTTCTCGAGAACCTGAGTTTGGTTTCTAACACTGTTAAGCTGCTCAAAACACTCCAGCTCCAGAGGATCCAGCACCCTCCTCTGCTCTCCACAGACACCACACTCACGTGCACGCACACAGAGACATGCACATACACATAATTAAAAATAAATCTTTAAAAAATATTAGAAATGGCCAGATCATAGTGATGCAATCTTTAATCCCAGCATTTGGGAGGTAGAGGCAGGCGGATCTCTGAGTTTGAGCCAGCCTGGTCTGCATAGTCCTAGGCTAGCCATGGCTACGTAGTGACACCCTGTCTCCAAACAACAACAATAAGTTAGAAATAGTTTAAAGTGCTTTTTTAAAATTGTGTTTGAGACAGGGTCTCATTATATAGCTGACTGGCCTGGAACTTGCTGTGTAGCCCAGGCTGGCTTTGAACTCCCAGAGAGCCACTTGCCTGTTTCCGGAGAGCTGGGATTGAAGCAGGGCACCACCACACCCACTAAGTATAATGGTCTGGCTGTGCTGTAAGAGTAGCAGTAGAGGGTTGTTGCTGTGACTCCGGTGGTAAGGTCCTTACCCAGCATGCACCACACCCTGGGTTTCATCCCTGTGCAGCCTAACTGTGGGTGAGCATCTGCAGTCCCAGGGCTTGGGAAGTGGAGGCAAAGAGGATTTGCTCTGTAGATGAGGTTTCTGTAAGAGCTGATGTGGCTGAATCAGTGGCTGCCTTGTGACGGGCGCTTCTGTTCAGCCAGGGGCTATGAGTACGTTTTGGAGCCCTCGCCTGTCCCGCTGCCCCTCGACAGACCTCAGGAGACAAAGGTGTTGCAGGTGTCCTGCGGCCGAGCACACTCCCTTATCCTGACAGACCGAGAAGGTGGTGAGTAGTCTTGCTGAGGGTGTCTGTGAAACCAGTCTTGCTGTTGGGCATGTCCTGCTTGATGTGGCGTGGAGTTCCCCAGCAGATTCACTGGGCGGGGGCTTCGGAGGGTGGTGTTGGCGGACTTGTTAACCCTTGTGCTCCCCACGGTGCCGGAAAGCTGCCACCTGCTCTACCACTAAGCTTTGTCTCAGCCCTTGCTCTTTTCTAAGATTTATTTTTAATTTTTATTCATGTGTATGTGTGTCTGAGTGTATGCTACATACGTGTTGTCTCTGCAGAGGTCAGAAGACCGTATCAGATCTCTGGAGCGGGGTGGTTGTGATTGCTTAGTGTGGGTGCTGGGAATTGAACTCGGGACCTCTGGAGGAGCAGCAAGATCTAATGGCTGAACCATCTCTGCAGCCCTGCCTGTTTTTGTTTTCCGTGATTTTATTTTTAATTGTGTATGTTTATGTCTGAGTATGTATGTTTGTGGGTTCTGAGCGTGCTAACAGTGGTCACTGCGGAGACATTATTAGCCTCAAACGCCCAGCTGAACAGAAGCACGTCTGTCGATGGTATCTTCCCCATTGTAGTTTTCCTGGGGTCATAGCAGTTAATTTTGACCTTCAATCCCTGGAGGTAGAAGTGGGTCTGGAAGAAAAGCCCTGCCACTCTCATGGGGCGGCTGCAGGGGCTGGGGTGTGGGAAAGGGAGATCTAGGGCTAGTGAGGGTGAGCAGGCCAGGACCACCCATGTTAGCCCCTCTAGTCCTGATGTGGTGGGACCCTGGAGCCCTCAGAGCTTACCTGACGGCCGGGCTATGCTTCAGTCTTCAGCATGGGGAACAATTCCCACGGGCAGTGCGGACGGAAGGTGGTGGAGGACGAAGTGTACAGGTGAGTCCGATAGTGCTGCTTTCCCCACAGTGGGGGACTCTGAAGGCTCCTAATTACCCTGGGTGTACACCTGAGTGTAGGACCTGGCCCTTAATGCTGAGGAGGGAGTGCTTACCTCAGCAGAAACTCCCATCGTTTGTAGGGTGAGGTCATAACGTGTAAAGCTGTTAAAACTTTTTATGTTGTGTGTATCAACGTGCGTGTGTATACACGCGCATGTCCTCATCATGTGTGGTGGTCAGAGGACAACATGCAGGAGTCAGTTCTCTCCTCCCACCATGTGGCTTCTGGGGACAGAACTCAGGTTTGTTGAGTTTGGTGGCAAGTGCCTTTACCCACTGAACCATCTTGTTAGGCCCCACAATTCTTTCATTTTTCTAGAGACAGATTTTCACTGTGTGTCCTTGATTGGCCTGTAAATTTCTGTCTCAAGGTTCAGTTGGCCTTGAACGCATAGAGATCCACTTACCTCTGCCTCCCAAGTGCTGGGATTAAATGTGTGTACCATTATGTCTGGCTGTTCTCAATTTATTTTTGAATTTTTTTCACTTTATCAAATTAATCTTAAAAAACTTCCCTCTATTTAAGTCTTTTTAATTTAGTGTTGGAAGTATTTTCCCCGAGCTAGGCGTAGTGGTGAATGGCTGTAATACCAGCATTTAGGAAGTACAACAGGAGAGTTGAAATTCTTGGCCTGGCTGGGCAGTTTATGCAGACCTTATCTCAAAGATAAAAACAAAGGGTTATGGGTAGGGTGTGGTAGAGCAAGCCTCTGGTCCCCGCACTCAGGAGGCAGAGGCCAATGGATCACTGAGGCCAGCCTGCTCTATAGAGTGACTTCCAAGATAGCCAGAGCTGTGTAACCAAGAGGCCTGTCTCAAAAACAAACAAACAAACACACACAAACTGCCCCACATTTGATCTTGAGAGCTGTTCTAACTGTTTGTGCCGTGGGGACCTGACTGTGCAGGTAGGACTACAGGAGGGAGGGTGCTGGGTGGGGCCCAGCCGGCATGGTGCTCGTGACTGCCTCTGTTGTTTCTCCCCAATTTGTTCCTGGCTGCAGTGAGAGTCACAAAGTGCACAGGATGCAGGACTTTGATGGACAGGTGGTTCAGGTAAGAGGCTTGAGCTGAGGCTCTCTAGGCCTGTCTCTGGGGTGCTTTTGGAAGGGTGCAAGGTGTACAGGATGATGTCACATTTGTTGTTGGATTTCTCTGCATGTCTTAGGGGCACTGTGATTGTGATGAAGCACCATGACCTTAAACAATTTGGGAAGAAAAGGTTTATTTGACTTAGGCTTCCATATCACTGCAGGGAAGGAAGTCAGGACAGGAACTCAGACAGGGCAGCAACCTGGAGGCAGGAGCGGATGCCAGAGGCCATGAGGGGGTGCTGTTTGCTGGCTTTCTCCTCATGGCTTGCTTAGCCTGCTTTCTTACAGAACCCAGAACCATCAGCCCAGGGGTGCCCACAAGCTTGCTTAATAGCACATTCTTTGTTTTTTTCAGATAGGGGTTCCCTGTGTATCCCTGGCTGTCGTGGAACTCACTCTGTAGACCAGGCTGGCCCCAGACTCACAGAGATCCTATCCTCCTGTTTCTGCCTCCCAAGTGCTGGCATTAAAGATGTGTTTCACCATGCCAAGCTAAGCCCAATCTTATGTTGGAGGCTTCCTCTTCTCTGATGCCTCTAGCTTGCATCAGGTTGACCTAAAACAGCACACTGGATGAAGAGATTAGTTGAAACTGACTTACCACAGGCCAGAACCGATGCTAGAATGTAGATGCAGGGTAGAAGTGAGGGGATGTAGCAGGATTAGGGCTAAGGTTGCAGTAGAGTGGAGTTCTTCTTGAACTGGCTTCATAGGCCCGGGAATGTGAGTTCAAGTCCCTGTTTCTCCATGTAAGTGACTTTGGGTAGGTGACTACACTTCGGTGGTTCCATTTGTTAGGGCATCTCGACTGTTGCCTTAGCACAGCTCCTGGTGCAGAGGCTGTCCTGTGAGTTAGGAAAAGAAGTGTGGCATCCTACTGTACTGTAGATAGTCAGTCCTGTGGTGTGGAGGCCCAGGAGAGCCCTGGGGTGTGGATGGTGCCTTCCAGAGAAGTGCGACGTGGCCAGACATTCCATTCCAACAGGGAAGGTTACAGAGTGGAGGTGGGGAGGGCAGATGGGAGGTTAGTGTGGGGGTGGAGGAGGGGGAGAATCCACTGCCTCCCCCCCCCCCCCCCCCGCACAGGTTTGGCTGCCTAGGCACAAACAACACTGTGTCTCTGTGTCTGCCAGGTTGTCTGTGGTCAGGACCACAGCCTGTTCCTCACGAACAAAGGGGAAGTGTATTCTTGTGGATGGGGTGCCGATGGACAGACAGGTAGGTGCTTTTGCCCCATTGGGGAGGTGAAAGATCTTGGTCTATGGCCTCTGCAGTCATTGTGGACTGCAGGGCTCATGGTCTAGATTTGGGTCTTCTGGGGACTGCCTTCTTTTATGTCCTTTCCTGTTCCTTTTGCTGCTGGTTTCCATAGAAACGAACCAAGACGGTGTCAGAGGTTCCTCAGCACTGTTGTCAGTAGCAGAGCCCTGGGCCTCATTCATCCCAGCGATTGGAGTCTGGAGGAGCAGGCTTGTCTGTTGCCTCTGCTGACTCATGCTAGTAGTACCCGATCCCCTCAGGGGCTTAGTGACTTGATTATGAACTCGTGTTTTATTGAGTTTAATTTGTGGGAACCTTCAGAACCTGCATCAGAGAGCATTCCTCTAAAAGGCATTTCATTGGCCCTGGCCTGGTACCAGGGCTTCTGCTTTTCTGAGATCCTGGTTTACCCAAGAGTCTGTGGTTCAGTGCTGTGCTTTGGCCAGCTGCCTAATAAGGTCTTGTGCTGCCTGGGTGGCATCTAATTCCTGGCCTAAGTGGCCTCTTCCCTTCGCCTGCTGAATCTACATGTACATGAACCTATAGGTGCATGCCACTGTGCCTGGCTTCTGTATCTGCTAGCAAGCCCACAGAGTGTTAGAAACTGCTTCTCACTGGGCCGGGATGTAGCTCACTGGTAATTCCATCCCAACAGCACATAGAAGAAAGGCTGTAATTGCTTATAATTTATGCAAGCTCTAAGAGCTTCATCATATAATGCTAGTTCATCTTCAAAATTTTTTAACTTGACTTTTGGGGATTTTGTTTGAGGGTTTGCTCTTCTTTCTTTCCTTCCTTTCTATTTAGTCCTATCTATCCTGGAACTTGCTGTGTAGCTCAGGCTGGCTTTGAATTCACAGAGGCCTCCTCCTTCTTCCTCCTGAGTGCTGGGCATAAAGGTGTACACCACATTTGTAGAGGATCTGTTCCTGAGGCTGTCCTGGAGCTACAGTATAGACCAGGCTGACAGTGTAGCCCAGGCTGTCCTGGAACTTGCCATCCTCCTGTCCTCAGTCTTTCCACTTAATTTAGACCTAAAAATTCCTAGGGTGTTTAAAGTAGACCAGATACGACTTTGTTGTTGTCCTCTTTGGTGCAGAGTGCTACCCATGTGTCTGTCTTTCCCTAAGTCTCCTATGTCTGTGAGCTAATGCATGTTTCCTACTGTGCAGGCCTGGGTCACTACAACATCACCAGCACACCCACCAAGCTGGCCGGAGACCTTGCTGGGGTGACGGTTGTTCAGGTTGCCACCTACGGTGATTGCTGCTTGGCTGTGTCCTCAGATGGAGGTGTCTTTGGCTGGGGAAATTCTGAGTACCTGCAGCTGGCCTCGGTCACAGACTCCACTCAGGTGTGTAGCCTGGTGTCACACTGCCTCTGCTCTGCTGTCTCCTTAGCGTCCCAAAAGAAGAGGAGGTCTGAGGCCACTGCGACTAGCTGGCCCTGGCTTAAGACTGTTGTTTTATTTTTATGTGCTTTTCGTTTTTCTGTGTTGTGTGCTGTGTGTGCATGTTTTGCGTGTGTGCACATGTGCATGTGGAGGCCTGTGGTTGATCTTGGGAACCATCCTTGATTATCCTTCCATCAGATTGATTGAGGCAGGGACTCTTAATCAGACTCAGAGCTTATCAGTATAGTTTGTCTTGCTGGGCAGCTTGCTCTGGGTATCCCCCATGTTGGCCTTTAGAGGCTGGAGTCACAGGCAGCCTACTGGGGATCCAGTCTCGAGTCGTCAGGCCTGCAGGCAAGCACTCTAACCACTGAGCCATCTCCCCAGCCAGTATGTGTGTGCTTCGAGACAGGGTTTTGCTGCACAGATCTGGCTGGCCTCAACTTGTAACACTGTTCTTGCCTCTGCCTCCTGATTGCTGCCGTCTCAGGCAAGTGCCACCACATCCAGCTAGGATAGTGCATTAAGTTTATCTCTCCTCCTATTCCTTCCTTCCTTCCTTCCTTCCTTCCTTCCTTCCTTCCTTCCTTCCTTCTTTTTTTTTTCTTTTTCTCTTTTCTGAGACAGGGTTTCTCTCTGTCGCCATGGATCCTGTCCTGGAGCTTACTCTGTAGACCAGGCTGGCCTTGAACTCACAGAGAGCCACCTGCTTCTGTCTTCTGAGTGCTGGGATTAAAGGTGTGCACCACCACCGCCTAGCTTCCCCCACCTATTTCTAAAAGGCATATGAGACAGTACGCATGTGCCCACAGTGTCATAGAGTGTCTCTGCCCTAGGGCAGCATATATGTAGCTAGGCTTGGTGACAAGTTGGAAATTAGCCTAGCTGTGTAGTGAAACAACAGAACAAGCCGGGTGTGAAGATGCACACCTGTAGTTCCAGCACCCAAGAGTTCAAGTCATCTCGGCTACAGTTTGAGGCCAGCCTGGCTACGTGAGACCCTGTCTCAACAAGTTAAAGGAAAATACAGGCTCCAGAGCATGCAGACCCTAAATATACAAGCTGTCCCTGAGGCTGGACTTGACTCATGGTCTATCTCCCCAGTGCTGGGAGTACAAGTGTGTGCTGCCATGCCCAACTGGCTTTAACAGTTTATTAAGGACTATTTTGAACATAAACAAAAAGTAGAGATTATTTTGTAATTAACATCTTTCTTTCTTTGTTGTGTTGTATGTGTGTGTGTGTGTCTGTCTGTCTATCTGTCTGTAGGAGGATCGACAACCTCAGTTGTCAGACCCCAGAAGCTCTCCACCTTATTTTTTGAGACAGGGTCCCTCACTGAGACCTGGGCTCATTCATAAGTCTGTGTTCGCCTTCTCTGTGCTTGGATTACAAGAGCACACCCTGATACCCAGCTTTTGTGTGGGATGGGTTAGAGCTTAGGTCCTTATAGCAAGCACCTTCCTGACTGAGCTGTCTCCCCAGTCCATAACTAATACCTTTCTATTCTTCACTGACATTACTTGCCTGTGGCCAGTTCTTGGCATCTAATTTTTTTCTTTTCCTTCCTTTCCTTTCCTTTCCTTTCCTTTCCTTTCCTATTTATTTATTTATTTATTATGCATACAATGTTCTGTCTGTGTGTATGCCTGAAGGCCAGAAGAGGGCACCAGACCTCATTACAGATGGTTGTGAGCCACCATGTGGTTGCGGGGGAATTGAACTCAGGACCTTTGGAAGAGCCAGCAATGCTCTAACCGCTGAGCCATCTCTCCAGCCCCCTTATTTATTTATTTTTGAGACAGGGTTTCTCAGTGTAGCCCTGGCTATTGTAGAATTCTCAATGTATACCAAGCTAGCTGAACTCAGGGACCAGTCTGCTTCTGCCTCCCAATTGCTGGGATTTAAGATGTGTACTATCATGCTTGGCATCCTAATGGCCAGTTCTTAATAATGAAAGTATAATTTACAAATTGTTATTCACCAATATGAAGTGTGTGCAATTTATTAATTTTTTTCCTCCAACATAATATTTTTATTGATTCAGTTTAGTAGGTTTTGATTCATTCACAAAGGTTGCAGGCTGATGCCATAGCTCAGCAGATAGAGGGACTTGCCACCAAACCTAACGACCTGAGTTTTATCTCTGGTGAAAACAGAGATCTGACTCTCACAAGCTGTCCTCTGCCCTCCAGTGTGCTCTGTGTCATGTGTGCATGTGTATATACACATCGATAATAGATACATAGAATAAATTAATAAAAATTAAGCAGCTTGGCAGTGGTAGTGCACTCCTTTAATCCCAGCACTCGGGAGGCAGAGGCAGGTGGATCCCTATGAGTTTGAGGCCAGCCTGGTCTACAGAGTGAGTTCAGGAGAGCCAGGGTTACACAGAGAAACCTGGTCTCAAAAACCATACAAACATGGGGCTGGAGAGATGACTCAGTCGTTAGAGCACTGGCTTCTCTTCCAGAAGACCTGGGTTCAATTCCCAGCACCCATATGGCCGCTCACACTGTCTGGAACTGTTCCAGGGGATCTGACTCCCTTACACAGACATATATGAAGGCAAAACACTAATGCATATAAAATTGAAAACAAATAAAAATGATACAAACAAGAAAAGAAACCATAAATTTAAACAAAAAGCTTATAGCCTTCTCCCAAAGGTTTTTACTACTCTCAAACTCCCAAAGCATCTTTATCAACCCCCATAACTCACACTGCTAATGGCTAATATCTCTCCTTCTGTTTCTCTGCCCAGGCTTTTTGCTTTTGTGGTTCTGGGAATGGCACCCAGGACCTTGAGTGCACTAGGCAGGTGCTGAACCACTGAGTTGCACTCCCAATACTTCACACTTTGTGTGTAACGGTAGGTCAGGAACCTGCCACGTGCAGCAGGTTTCTTGGCCCTGAACCTGTAACCAGGTTTCACCAGGAAAGAGCTGCTTCCACCCTTCCTCTGATGGCGGTTGTCAGGATGCAGGCTCTCTGCTGGACCAAGGCCCTGGGGCCTCACTGGATGTTGGCCATTTGATAACTGCTGGCCAGAGCTTTCTTGATTCCTTGCCATGTGAACCACTCCACTCTGGAGGGGCTGTGACAGTGTGGCAGCTGGCTCCATTAGATCAGCAGATGAGAAGGCCATGTTGGATCATTTGAAGTGACAGTCCCTTACTTCTGGGATTCTGTTCAGTAGAAGCAAGTCACCTGGGTTAGCCCAAACCCAAGTTCACCTGTGGGTGCGAATAGCCGGAGATGCAGCTCCCTGGGAGCCACTGTGGAAGTGGCCAATACAATTTTGATTTAGTTTTGCTGTTGTTTTGCTTTGAGATGGGATCTTTCTTTTTTTAGCCCTGGCTGTTCTGGAACTTGCTATGTAGACCAGCCTGGACCTGAGTTAATAGAGTCTGCCTGCTTCTGCCTTCTGAATGCTGGGATCAAAGATGTATACCATCACACCCAGCTTATTTTAATGTTTTTACACTCGTTTGTTTAGAGCATGTATGTCTGTGTGTGCCAGGGCCTGTGTGTGGTCAGAGGGCAGCTTGTAGGGGCTGTTGGTTCCTGGGCCTGAACTCAGGCACTCAGGCTCGTCAGCAAATGGCTTCCTTTGCTCAGCTATCTCACCAACTCTTGTTATTTATTTGTTTAGGTTTCTTGGAATAGGATTTCTCTTTATAGCTTTGGAGCCTGTCCTGGAACTTGCTCTGTAGACCAGGCTGTCCTTGAACTCATAGAAATTTGCCTGCTTCTGCATCCTGAGGGTAGGGCTTAGGGGTGTGTGCCACCATGCTTTGCTTTTCTTTTCTTTTCCTTCTTTCTTTCTTTCTTTCTTTCTTCCTTTCTTTCTTTCTTTTTTAAGTCAGGGTTTTAATTTATAACTCTGGATGGTTTGGGACTCTCTATGTAGGCTAGGATCTCAAACTCATAGAGAATCCACAGCTTCTGCCTCCTGTGCTGTGATTAAAGGCATATGCTACCAGTCCTGATCTCTTAAAGAGTGGGCTGTCCTTGTCCTGTTCCCTTGGTACATCTCGTCCCATTGGAGGATGCTCCCTTCTCCCCTTGCATGCCCTATATACCCTTCAGAGCTCAGGAAAAGTGACGCCTCTTCCCTCCCCCATGTCAGATCAGCCTCTTAGAGACTCCGGGAAATCCCTTCCACACTTTGGTCTAGCACAGATGTAACAAGGGGCAGAGTCTGACATCTGCCTTCCAGAAGAGTGGGAACTGGGCCCCCCAGCTCTCTTCTGTGTCCTGAGCCCTTGGTTAGGAAGCTTAGTAAGTGAGACATACTGGGGAAATCTTTGACTTTAATAAGTGAGCTGGGACTTTAATAAGTGCTTCTGGCTCCTTTGTTTTCCTAACCATGCCCACCCTTTTCTTTGGTGCAGGTTAATGTCCCTCGGTGCCTGCCTTTCTCTGACGTAGGCAAGGTGAAGCAGGTGGCTTGTGGTGGCACGGGCTGTGCTGTATTGAATGGTGAGAGCCACTTCTTGCATTCCTTGAGAAGCACTGAACAGATCAAACAGGGAACAGGACAGTTTGTGTGCTTCAGGTTCCTAGACTGTAGATGCATCCCGAAGAGGGGAGTGTGGCTGTGGGAGCATCTAGTTGCAGTCATTCAGTGATTACGGGGTAGGGGTGAGATTCCCAACAGGTTAGTAGCTCATGATGTAGACAACCATGGGGCTTTGTCATTTTATACCAAACATCTGGATCTTGGAGATGGGGATCAGACACAGGCCCCTGTCCATGCTAGGGGGATTCTAGGCAGGGGCTCTGCCACTGACCCACACCCCAGCCCCTCACTGGGGAATTCTAGGCAGGTGCTCCATCACTGAGCCACTTGCCCAGGGTCTCATGCATGAGAAACCTGCTTTGTCACTGTGCTCTACCCTGAGCCTCGGTCCTGCACTTGTTACAGCCAGGGCTGCAGAGTTCAGTGATAAAGCACTTATGCATGAGAGCCAGATACTGTCCTTAGCACTGTATCAAAAAGAAAGAAGGGAGGAATGGGGGAGGGGTGATGAGAAGAAAGGAAAGACGGGGAAAGGGAAGAAAACTGGACATTGTGGTATAGGTCTCTGATTCCTAACACTCAGGAGGCTGAAGTGGAGGATTATAAATTCCAGGCTAGCCTGGACTATATAGCAAGACTGTGTCTTAAAATACCTGGAGCTGGAGAGATAGCTCAGTGGTTAAGAGCACTTATTTTTGCAGAAGACCCAGGTTCAATTCCCAGCACCTGCATGGCAGTTCACAATCATCCATAATTCTATTCCAGGTAATTTGATACCTGTTTTGACCTCAAAACATCAGGCACCCATATTGTACACAGATATACATTTGATCAAAACACTCATAAACAGCCGGGCAGTGGTGGCACATGCCTTTAATCCCAGCACTTGGGAGGCAGTGGCAGGCGGATCTCTGAGTTTGAGGCCAGCCTGGTCTACAAGAGCTAGTTCCAGGACAGGCTCCAAAGCTACAGAGAAACCCTGTCTTGAGAAACCAAAACAAACAAACAAACAAACAAAAACACAGAAAAAAACTCATACACATAAAATAATTCTAAATCTAAAAAAATAAAGACAAACAATCCCACAGCAAAACTCAAAATTTCTACTCCCCTGAAAGCAAGTTAAAAAGCATTTTTAAAGTGTGTGTGTGTGTGTGTGTGTTTGTATATTTGTGTATTTGTATGTGTGTGTGTGTTTTGTTTGAGACAGAGTTTTCTCTGTGGCTCTGGCCTGTCCTGGAACTATGTAGACCAGGCTGGCCTCGAACTCAGAAATTTGCCTGGCTCTGTTTCCCAAGTACTGGAATTAAAGGTGTGTGTCACCACCCAGCTCATTTCTAAGTTTTAAGAATCTGGCCAGAATGGCTTGTGTCTGGTATGGCTCCGATCAGTGTGAAATTGGAGTTGTTGGTGGGAAAAATGTCCAAGATTTTGTATGCCAGTGGGTTTTATGGATACCCTCCCCCCATTACCCTCAAGAAGTTGGTTGTTTCTGCTGAGTTTGACTTCCTCCCTAGCCAGACTCCATAGACAAGTATTTAATTTTCAACCTGCTAGCACAGTGTGTCTCTCATATACCAAGGTGATACTCCTGCCTCCACCTCCTGAGTTCGGAGATTACAGGCGTGCTCTGCCATGCCTGGTTTCTAGGGACGAACCCAGGGCTCTGTGCATCCTAGGTATGCACTCTACCAACCGAGCCCCTCCCCAGTCCCTGTAGTGTTCATGTCCAGGAGGGCTGTACCACTCACAACCACTGTTTTTGTTGTAACATAGAAGAAGGACATATCTTCGTCTGGGGCTACGGAATTCTTGGGAAAGGACCAAACCTCTTGGAAACGGCTCTTCCAGAAATGATTCCACCTACGCTCTTTGGCTTGACGGAGTTCAACCCCGATGTCCAGGTTTCCCAGATCCGATGTGGCCTTAGCCATTTTGCTGCACTTACCAGTAAGTTACCCTGCTGGGCATACAGGCCAAAATCTGTTCCTTCTCAAACTGGGACAGCTCTCAGCTTCTGTTGTCAACCTACATCCATTTATAGCCATCCATTTATCCACCCATGTTTCTGTCTGTCCTCCCCTCCATTCTGCTGTCTCTATAGCTATTCATTTCTGTCCTCTAGCCTTCCCTCCCTTCCTCATCCATCCTTCTGTCCGTCTATCTGTCCATCCATCTATCCATCCAATAGATTGATGTCTTCATGGGATAAGTAAAGAGGGAGGCCATGTCGAGGTAGTCCAGTCTGTGTTGTAAGACACATACCTTCCTTTCATGCTGGCATTTTGGTTTGGAGTCTTTGTTTTGTGACTAGGCTTATTGTGATCTCTTAGGAGGAGCCTATTGAGGGAGAAGGGTTTGGTAATGGTAGTGAAAACCAGGGAGGTTTGGGCCACATATGGGTGAATGATGCGGAAATGAGTGTGCAGCGTGGCAAGTGGCCTACCTTACCTGTGGTAAAGCTCAGAGCCTCCACGGTGCTGAGGAGGGGTTCCCACAGAGGCGGCTGGCTGGAGACTGACTGGACAGGTTGTAGAGCCATGAAATAGCAAGTAGCTCCACAGGCGTCTAGACAGACCGTGGTCTTCCTCATGTTCTGCCACCACGCCTCAGCTCAGGCAGCTGCTCTGCAGTCCTGGACAGCGGTTACTGTGTGCATGTCACCGTAGTGATTCCCAGGGATTTGCTGCTTCCTTGCCCATCAAACGTCTTCTTGAGAGAAAAGCTTAACTTTTCCTTTTTTCTTCTTATCGAGCCTAAATTTGCTTTTTCTGGTACTTTTAGTCCGCTATGTAACTGACCTCCATGCCTAACTCAAACAACACGACTCCTTTTCACTCTGAGGCTCCCACTGTGACTCTGTAATAAGCTGTTCTCTAAAACTGAAGTTTTTTGTGACTTGAGATATGACTCGCCAGTAGAGCTTCTGCCTAGAATCCCCCAGTGAGGGGCTGGGGTGTGGCTCAGTGGTAGAGCACCTGCCTAGAATCCCCCAGTGAGGGGCTGGGGTGTGGCTCAGTGGTAGAATGACTGCCTAGACTTTGCCAGTGAGGGACGTGGCTTAGCAGTAATGCACTTTCTTCAAGGTGTAACCATTGTATTTATTAGTTTGTTCCTTTGTTCATTTTGACTCTTCTACTAGGTGAAGTTCATGAGGACAGGAAACATGTTTGTTCAGTTGCTGTCCTGTCCCCAGTACCCAGCACACAGGCATAGCCCGACATAGTTAGGAACCTAGTTGCTCTATAGCTCCTCACAGAACACACCTACACGCTGAAACTCAAGCAGAGCTGGTTGTCTTGCCTCACTGTCAGTCAGAGAGGGTAGAGCTATGGGTGGCAGCAGACCGTCAAGATGAGCAGAGAGGGCTGTGCATGGGAGCCTTGGGGTTTGCTTCACACACAGACTTGTCTCCCTAGGCTGCTTGGCAGAAGGCCTTGCCTGGGACCTGGTTTATGGATAGAACATCTCTAAGGTGCTTTTCTCTGAGATTCAGTTCAGAGGCTAAATTGAGCAGTAAGTTCTGTTTGTCCCTGACTCTTGGAAGGCCGTCCTCTTGATGATCTCCTTCTGTAGCTCCAGCCAAGCCTCTTTCTTCCTTTCTTTGCAGATAAGGGGGAGCTGTTCGTGTGGGGCAAGAATATCCGAGGGTGCTTGGGAATTGGACGCCTTGAAGACCAGTACTTCCCATGGAGGGTAAGACCATGTGGCGGGCAGGGGGATGTGGAGGGTAAGACCATGCAGGGGTGGGTTGTGGAGGGCATGCCAAGAGAAGCAAAACCAAATACAGGACAGAGTCCAGGACCTATTGTGTATTGCCATCTAGGATGGACACCAGGGAGGCTTGTGTGGAGGTGATGGGCGGGGCTGGATGTAGTACCAGCCTCCAAGTGTGCAGGCCTTCAGCCTTTCTGCTCTGTGGAGTCAGTGTATCCAGGAACTGCTGCACCTACTCAGTGGTCCAGTCCCTGGTGAGAAGCTACCATGTGGGCCAGAGATGTGACTTTGTTGATAGAGTAGTTGCATAGCAGGCATTAATCCTTGGGATCCATCCCTAGCACCATGTAAATTTAGTGGGGTGACCCACACCCCTAATCCCAGTACTACACTTGTAGAAGCAGAAGAATCAGAAGTTCAAGGTCATCCTTAGCTAAATGGACAGTTTGAGGCCAGCCTGAGTTGTGCAAGACCCAGTCTTTAAAGATCACAATTTAGGAACATTATCAAAATCCAGTCTTTCAAGGAACTATGTATACAAACACAATGTGCATGCAGATTCCCCTGCAGACTATTGCTGGTCTTGTCTGGAGTGCCAGCACCCCCTTCACAGCCGCCCCCTCCCCTCTTGTCATCTTTTCTTTTTGAGTGTGGCCTTGGAAAACAGTGGAAACAGTTGGGTGTTGGAACAGCAAACGCTTCCCAGGCCTGTCACCTATAGTGTGAGTGGGTTAGTTTCTTCTCTTGTTGCTTTGACAAAAGCAGCTTAAGGGAGGAAGGGTTTCTTTTGGGTCTCAGTTTGAGGGTCTAGTCCATCATGGCGGCGGACATGGCAGCAGGAGCATGAGGCGGCTGGTCACATGACACCCACAGTCAGGAAGCAGAGAGAGATGGACGCTGGTGCTCAGCTCTCCTTCTCTTCTTTCTTCAGCCCAGGACCCCGGCATGTAGAGTAGGGTCATCCTCATTCAGGATGGGTCTTCCCACCTCAGCTAACCAATCTAGAACTTCCCCAAGCCAAGCCAAGGAGTTTGTCTCCTAGATGACTCTAGATCTTGTCATGTTCACAATCAGTAGTCACCATCACAGCTGGTTACCTGCTGAGGCAACTTGGCAAAGCATAGCTGCTGGGGAAGAATCCATGTCTAGGCTGCTGGAACCTGATACCTCCCTTCTCAGCACACACCCTCTTGCACTTAGTCAGCCAGAGGAATGGCGTCCTGCTGGCCGTGGGCTTTCTGATACACTTTCCTGCTTCAGGGATGAGCCTGTCTGTCCTAGTGACCACTCTGTTGGCAGCACCCTGTTGTCCACCTTCTTGCACATTTGGTGAGCCCCAAGGGGTCATGCCAGGCAACTACACTGTCTTTTGTCACGTTTTGATTAGATGAAGGGGAGGGCTTGACAGATTCTTTAGTTTTTCATTCTTGTAAAAAAATGCCTGGGATCATCCACTTAAGAGGCAATGTTTAATTTGGTTCCTGGTTTTATAGAAGCTTTTTTGGTTGTTGTTGAGCTTGACGGCAGCCAGAGTCATCTGAGAGGAAGGAACCTCAGCTGAGAAAATGCTTCCATAACATGGTATAGGCAAGCCTGTAGGACATTTTTTAAATTAGTGATTGATGTGGAAGGGCCTAGCCCACTGTAGGTGATGCTACATAGGTTGGTGGTCTCGGGGGTATAAGAAAGCAGGCTGAGCAAGCCATGTAAGCAGCATCCTCCACAGCTTCTACCTCACTCCCTGCCTCCAGGTTCCTGCCCTGATTTCCCCTGGGGATGGACTGTGATATGGAGGCGTGGCCAAGTGAACCCTGGCCTTCCCAAGTTGCTTATGGCCGTGGTGTTGGCAATGGAAAGTTAAGGCAGCTCCAATCCCCAGTCTAGTAGGCTCCACCCTTATAGATTTCTGCCATTTCCCAGTAGCACCGAGCTGGAGATCCAGCTTTCAACACATGGGCCTTCAAGGCATACTTGAGATCCAAGCCATAGCCACAGGGTGGCGTGCGGCTCCCATAGCACAGCCCGTCTTGCACAGTGTGAGCTATGAGACCTGAGATGGAGCCTATGAGGTCACACATACAAGTCATAGGTGAAGCGTGGTGCACACCTCCAGTCCTAGCCACTTGGAAGGCCGAGGCAGGAGAATCAAGTCAGCCTGGGCTAAATAGTGAGGTATTCTTTCTCTCTCCCTCTCTCTCTGAAGAAAAAACAAGACTTGCTTATCATGAAAGCAGCCCTAGGTTCAAGCTGTAGCAGCACATAAACCTAGTATAGTGGAGCACACCTGTAATCCCAGGACCTGGGAGCAAGAGGTGGAAGTAGAAGGATCCTAAGTTTAAGGTTATCTTCAGATACACAGGGAGTTTGAGGCCAGCTTGGGCTCCGTGAGACCCAGAGACCAAAAATCCCCACATGACTGGGGACAGGCTTATTGTGGAGTCATTTTAGAGACCTGAGAGACACATGCCAGGGGGCACTGGAGTCTCAAGAACCACTGCTGTTCCCAAAAGTCCTTGATGGCCATAGGTCCTGGCCAGCAAGCAGAGACCAAACAGCTTCCTGTGCTTTGGGCTCTAATGGCCTGAGCATCTAGGGAACGGCACACAGGTGCTTAAGTGCAGTGGGCTGGCTGCGGATGACCATGGCAAGGCACTTTCCCAGGGAAGGTAAATAGATGATCTCAAGGGGCCTGAGAGGTTGCTAAGAACCCACCTGGCTAGGTCATCAGGGGGCAGCCGGCCACTGCTGTTCTGGGGCAGCGTCGGCAGCTCCAGGCTGCCTCTGTCACCTGGGGCCCATTTCTGTTTGCTCAGTGGTCTGTGTGGCAGCTTTTTCCAAGGTGTTTTGTTTGGGAAGGCTGTAAGACAGCATGGCGTGGTTCCTGCCTTCATTTGCCGTCACCGGCAGCCCCTAATGGAGATGAAGCTCCATGGTCAGCACCTGCCACTTCGGTGCTTTTAGGGCAGGCCACCTGTTGCAGGCATTCATTTCTGTCCTACTGCCCAGGCAGTCAGATTCTCTGCAGCTGCCAGCAGGAAGGACTGCTGGATAGGGATCTGGCCAATTGATCCCGCATCCACATCTAGGTGAGGGTCTGAAGGCACAGTTATGCAGGGTGTGCCCAGGGAGCCACAAGGCTGGCATGTGCCCTTCTGCATTGAGAGCCTGTGAGAAACACAAGATTTGATTTAAGTAGTTCTCAGTAGGATGCAGGGCATAGGGTGATTGGGTTATTAGGAGGTACTCGACACCTGTGTATTTATTTATTTCGACAGGGGCTCATGTAGCCCAGTCTAGCCTCAAACTCATTGTGTAGTGAGGAACTTCTGGTCCTTTTGCTTCTACCTGCCAAATGCTAGGATGAGAGGTGTGAACCACCATGCCTCATTAATAGGGTGCTGGAGATGGAACCCTGGGCCTCATGGTCATTGCTTTCCATTGAACGTCCTTTTACAGTATAGCATTGCTTATTACTATGTATGTATCATAGTAATAAATACGTTACTACGATAATAGAAATAGTGGTTAAAAAAAAGAGAAAATGGGCATGGAGGTGTATACGTCAGCTTTCTGGAAACTGAGGCAGGAGAATGCTGCAAGTTCTAGGCCAGCCCAGGCTATGTAGTGAGACCCTGTCTGAAAACTAAAACAGTTCAGTGTATGGTGGCACACACCTTTAATTCCAGCACTCAGTAAACAGAGGCAGGCTGACTTTATAAGTTCGAGGCCAGTCTGGCTTGCATAGTGAGTTCCAGGCTAGCCAAGGTTACATAGTGACATCCTGTCTCTAAAACAAACAAAAGGGAGCTGGGGCGATGGCTCAGTGGGTAAAATGTTTGCTGTATCAGTATGAAGATTCGTGTTTGGGTACCCAGTGCCCATGAAAAGCTCTGCTCCACCATGTAGTCTGTAACTCAGTGCCCCATAGCGGGGAAGAGTCAGAGACCTTGTCTCAAATAATAACGCGGGGAGTGTTAGAGGAGGACACCCGAGGTCAGCCACTGTTTCCACACTCCACACACACCGCACAGCACACACCCACGCCACACACCTCATCCACACACTGCACAGCACACACCCACGCCACACACCGCATTCCACACACTGCACTGTGCACACCATACATAGTACATTTACACAGTATAACATAAACACAACAAAAAGAGGAAGAAAAAAATAAAAAATAAATTTAGAGCCTGTGAAGGCCCACTGGGTATAGGTACTTGACACCAAGCCGGACTACCTGAATTTAATAAATCCTGTTTCCATAAGGTGGAGGGAGGGAACCAATTCCTGAAGATTGTTCTCTGACTTCAAGTGCACTGTGGCATGTGTGCGCGCTTGAGCGAGAACAAAATTATAAGGATTGAAGGAACCAGCGCTCTGGGAGGCCCAGTGTAGCTCTGAAGCTTGCTTGTACTGGTAGTCTAGGGAAGGGAAGACAGAGAAGGCTCTAAAACAGCGAGGCTGACAGACTCTGTGACAAGATTGGGAAGGAGGCTAGCCCCCTGCTGTGCTGAAGGCGAGGTCTTCCCGGAACAAAGACTGCAGACAGGCAACTTGGCTAGTTGGCTGTGGTAAGACCCTAATGTCTTTTTTTTTTTTTTTTGAGACAGGGTTTCTCTAGCTTTGGAGCCTGTCCTAGAACTCGCTCTGTAGATCAGGCTGGCCTTGAACTCACAGAGATCCCCCTGTCTCTGCTTGGGCTACCAGTGCCCTCCCCTAATGCCTTTTGAGATGTAGCAGAAACTCTGCCTCTCAGATGGTCATGGTGGGGGACACATGGGATCCAGCTTATGGCTGCAGATGGGGTCAACCGGTAAAGTGACAGAAGCCACTGTGCCAGTGTGTCCTTGTTCCCGCACTAGACCCACTAGGAAGAAGCCTTTCTTGCACTCTTGGGAAGTACTTGGTGACCCACAGAAAGGTCACCGAACACTCATCTGTAGACAGAAGTTTCTGTCCCACCTGGTCCCGCAGATGTCAGTTCCAAAGAAAGACATAGAGGCTTATATTAATTATAAACTGTTTGACCTATTAACTCAGGGTTATTATTAACTAGCTCATTTTTTTGAAAAGATTTATTTTATTTATTATGTATGCAGTGTTCTGTCTGCATATTTGCTTGCAGGCCAGAAGAGAGCATCAGATCTCATTATAGACAGTTGTGAGCCACCATGTGGTTGCTGGGAATTGAATTCAGGACCGCTGGAAGAGCAAGCAGTAAATGCTCTTAACTTCTAAGTCATCTCTCCAGCCCCCTATTAACTGGCTCTTATAACTTAAATTAACCCATAATTCTTGTCTGTGTTTAGCCATGTGGCTTGGTGCCTTTTCTCAGTGCAGCATTCTCGTCTTGCTTTCTCTGTGTCTGGGTGGCAACTGTGTCTGTCATTTCCTCTTCCCAGAATTCTCTTAGTCTGGTTGCCCTGCCTATACTTCCTGCCTGGCTGCTCACCAGTCAGCATTGTATTAAACCAATACAAGTGACAAATCTTTACAGTGTACAAGAAGCATTAGCCCAGAGCAATCAGCCTTTAGGCAGGGAATCTGGAAACCATTGTCACAGACAATGGTACCAGGAACATATGTGTTCTCCAGGGTCACCTCTCCAGGGTAGCTACCAGAGGTGATGCCATTGATGGGCAGGGAGGTAGGGTGGCTGTGGATTAGTGTGGGGCTGAGGGTGAGGCCCAGTAGGTGGAGTGCTTGCCTAGCACACACAGAGCCCTGGCTAGGGGCTGTCTCCAGTACCATAAAGCACATGTGGGACTCATGTCTGTAAACCCAGCACTTGGGAGGTAGAGGCAGGAGGGTCAGAGGTTCATGGTCAGCCTCAGCTACATAGGGAATTAGAACACCCAAGTCCCTGTCTCTCCCAGATGCACTCCAGAGCCTGCTCACCCTTCCCCTCACTGTGTCCTGGGCCTTGTTTTCCAGGTGACAATGCCCGGTGAGCCTGTGGACGTGGCATGTGGTGTGGATCACATGGTAACTCTGGCCAAGTCATTCATCTGAATCTCTTTCCGGGCCCATCCCAGGCTGGCCCCAGTGGCTGAACTATACCGACAGCAACAGCTTGGCAGAGGCAGGGTGTGGCCAACCAGCAGAGCTTCTGAGGATGCTGGGAGAGGGCCAGGACCTGTGTGGAGCAGGGGGCTTACTCTGTGTCCAGTGGGGACATAATAGGAGTCTGTGGACAAGACCTTTCCCTGCTGCTGAGGCTCCTGGCCTGGTGTGCTCCTGAGGAGTACCAGGGCATAAGGCCCTAGGATGGCCTGGCTCATGTCCTTTCCAGGTAACACGTGGTGCCATCTGGGAATGCATTTTGCCAGAGACACTTTTCTTAGGGGAAGTTCGTTATTCATGGCACATTGGAGACATGACAAAGCATTCAGGAGAATCTGTAGTCCTCTGTCACAACAGGACACATTTGGGCCTCTGGCTGGCCCAACTCAGCAGGAGAGCCAGCTAACTTCAGCAAGGGCCTCTCTGATCAGCTGCCACCCCACAAGCTCCCCAGGACACAGTCTGGGAGCCCAGAATGCCTTGGCTTGAGACTCTTTATGGAGCTGCCGGTGTGAGCCAGCCTACCACCATGGGTCTACAGTATCCCAGCTTTGGAGCCGTCTCTCTGCCTTTCTTTGAACAGTCCAGAAGCCCCTGAAGAAAGAAGCTGCAGGCCAAATGCTTGTGGGCTGAGGGCTGTGGAATCTTGGCTGGAGGACCAGCCTTGGAGTAGGAAGCATCAGAAACTGGGGAAATACTTGTTTTTAAGAAAACTTGCCTTTTCTTTTCAGAACAGTGTTTGAAAAGTTCGAATAAAGTCTATTTTCTGCCTTTTTAAAAATGGAGGTCTTGTAAATGTTTCACTGGATCATTTCGAGACCATAAAGGAAACAATAGAAGCCAGTGGAGAACACTTTAGAAGGCAATCCCACCTGGGATGTGTTTTGTGTGTGTGCAGTTGCATGTGCATATGGGTGTGCTTTCATGTGGAGGACAGGACAGTGTCAAGTGTCATCATTCCTCAGGTGCTGTCTATCTTATTATTGAGATGGGGTATCACTTCCTAGACTAGGTTGGCCTTGAACTCGCAGAGTTCTGCTTGCCCTTGCCTCCCAGAGTGCTGGGATTTTAAAGGCTTACACCACCATACCCAGCTCCACTTTATGTTTGGACACAGGATTTCTCCCAACCTGAAAGTTCCCAAGAAGGCTGGCCGGCCAGCCGGAGAGCCGCCCCAGGGGTCCTTCTGTTTCCGTTCCCCCAGAGCTGGAACGACAGGCACATGATGCCTTTTTTTACATGGGTTCTGGGGACTGAAGCCGGGTCGTCAGCTCGTCAGGCAGGCACTTAACCCACTGAGTCATCTCCCTAGCCCTGAGCAGACAGATTCTTCAGCTGGGGAGAGAGCTGGTGCCTGAGTCACTAATTACGACCTTTCACGCTGCCTGCTACACCCCACCCGCTACCTGTTCACGCTACAGGTACGTGTGGGCCCCTCAAGTGCAGGCGTGGGCCAACTGAGTCATGCAGTGGAAGCATCCCTGCTTTGTGCAGCTTGGGGAGGGAAATGGACATTATACAAAATACAGAGTTTGGTAGCTGCTTGTGTGGGCTGTGGAGGAAAGCAAAGTTTGGCTCCAAATACCTGACAGCAACAACTTAAAGGATTTAGTTTGGCTCTCAGTCTCAGAGGGTTCTAATCTAGCACGGCAGGAAGGCACAGCAGAGTTTCAGGGGGTTGGAATGTGTAGTAGATATCTCTCATTTGGCAGATAGGAAGCAGCATGCAACCGGATGTTGGCTGGACTACCACCTTTAAGGACCACCCCCCAGCGGCCTCCTTCTGTTGTCCAGGCCCCACTGACCCTCTAAGGTGCCCGTCTTCCAGAAAATGCCGCCTGTGGTGGAACACACGTTCAACACATGAGCCCGTGGGAGGCATTTCAGATGGAAACCCTAACATGGAGAAGACCTAACAAGGAAGTGGGATGTGTTGGAAGGTTGCAGGTTGAAGTCGAGGGATCAACAAACAGGATATCACGGGGACCCGTTGGCTGGTGTTGGAGGGGTTGGCTGTTTTGGCAGTTACAGGGCCCCTTCACCCAGGGAGGCTGAGGCAGGTGGATCTCTGTGAGTTCAAGGCCCACTTGGTTTACAAGAGCTAGTTCCAGGACAGGCTCCAAAGTGACAGAGAAACCCTGTCTCAAAAAACCAAAAAAAAAAAAAAAATTATTCTTATGTGTGTACGTGTTTTGTATGTTTGTCTGTGCGTCATCTATGTGTAATGGCCATGGATGTCAGAAAGTGGCATAAAATTGCTGGGAACCAGAGCTAGAGAAAATCTGAGCTATTAAGTGCTAGCAACTGACCCCATCTCATCTGCAAGAACAGCAAAGGCTCTTTAACCACTAAGCTATCTTCCCAAATCCCTTAAATTTTTTTAAAAAATATTTTTTATGATTTTTGTCTGCATGTATGTATGTGCACCATGTGTGCAGTACTCAGAGAGGTCAGATGAGGGCATCAGATCTGGAATTGGAGTTACAGATGGTTGTAGTACTGGGTACTAGGGACTTGCTGTGGGTACTGGGGACTTGCTGGATTGAGAGATGTTTAGGTTTACAAGCACATTCCTGTCTGTTTCTATGACATGCCCAGAAACATACAGATTATGAAGGCTCTGACCTAATTAACGGATAACTAATGGATTGATGATAGCTTGACAGATCCATCATTTGTTGACGTAATAGAATGACGTAATAGATAAGAGGTGGTACTTCACTGAAGGTCACTCACTGAAGATGGGATAGCATGCCCTGGCCTTTTCCTGTCTTCCCATCTCTGCTTGGATGCCATGAACAATTCCTTCTCTACAAGTTCTTGTTGTGATGGTGTTCTGCCTCACTGAGGTCCATGATCACAGACCAAACCCACTGAAACACATCACTCTTCCCTTTAGCTTTTATTTATTTTATGTATATGGATGTTTTATTACGTGTGTGTCTGTGTACTACATGGGTTCCATACCCATGTAGAGGCCAGAAGAACTTGTCAGATTCCCTGGGACCAGAGTCACAGATGGTTGTGAGCCACCATGTGGGTGCTGAGAATTGAACCCAGGCTCTCTGGAAGAGAGCATCAGCTACTGCTCTTAACCTCTGGGTGACCTCTCCAGCCCCTTTTACTGAGATAGGGTTTCACTATGTAGCTCAGGCTAGCCTGGAACCCTCCATCCTCCTGCCTGAGCCTCCTGAGTGCTAGGATACAGACATGTATCATTTCAAGCCACTGTTTTAGGACAACTTATTACACAGCATCAGGTAGCTGATACAAACCTCCTGGCAGCTTTTGAGACTCAGGGTTACACCAGAGGGTTATCCTGGCTCCTCTAGCCACGTTCTCCAAACAATATGGGAAAGAGGGAAGAAATGAGACACGATCCTGCATAAATCAACATAAAATCATACAGCCGGCAGCCAACATCATCTTTTTTCCCCTTCATTTAATGAACACTTTACAAAGTACAAAATATACTGTCTTTTTTTTTTTTTAAGGGGGAACATTAGGTACTTTTTTTTTTCTCTCCATCATACAGTACACAACTCTCAAGGGTTTTGTTTCTTTGACAAAACGAAAGCATGAAGGCCCTGGAGGTGAAGAGAGTCGGACTCCAGTCCTCCCCTCACTCAAGCTGCTGGACTAGTGAAGTCCCAGTGTTGCTGGTGACCTGGGCACAACATGCCAGGTGAGGGTCAGCTGGGGCTGCGGGCAGGGCACCCACACCCGCTCCCCTGCCTCAGGATAACGGAAATGATTTTGGCATACAAGAGGAGGGCTGGGAGAGCTCTGGTCGCGCATTCCTCTCCCTACTGTTTGGGGGCTGACCCTGCTCTCACTCTTCCTGTGATACAGGTAAACTGAGGCAGTAGAAAGGGAAGCCATGCTAGGCTCTGCCCCGTGGAGACCTGAATTTTTGCCTATTGCTGGGGCCTCTAGCTTTGTGGACCCCTTTCCAAGATGAGTTCCTGGTAAGCGAGGGGTCCTCTTGTCTCCAGCCCCCCTTCCTGTGAATACTGTCTTCAGAATTGAAACCTCTACAGAGTGACATGGGTGGGCCTGGGCCAGCTCAGGCTGCCTGCATGGACTCTGCGGTCTCTGAGGGCAGAGTCTTCCCTGGGGATGCAGACAATAGGGGAAGGAGCCTATCCAATCAGGGCAAACCCCACGCTCTACCCCATCTCTCCCACCCGCCCCCACAATCTGGTTAACTCTGTGTGGCACTGGGCCGGGCTGAAGGGCCAAACACTGCATAAAACAGCTCGCAGCTCTGAGATAGGCTCTGCACATGTGTGCACACACTCATGCCTAATACAGATACACACACATACACACACATGTAAATATAACCACACAGAACGCCTCCTGACACACAGGACGGAGCCACCCTGCACTTTTGACTCCCAGATTCCCTGCTCTTCTACCAGGTGCCACAAACCATCACCACCAAATTGATGCTCACAAGCGCCGTGGCCTTGTGCCACGGTGCCCTCAGCTCCCCTTCCCCCAGTTGAGTAGCTTTTGTGGGGAGGGTGGAGGTCACCCTGGGACCAGCTAAATGTGTCCTTCTGTTGCTTCAAATTAGGGAATAGACATGAAAAGAAAGCAGAGATGTATGAAAAGGTTAGGTCTGTCAAGTTAGCTCTACTCCATGCAACAAAGCAATGCTGATCGGCTGTTGGCCATCTCTTGGATGTCAAAATGGAGGTCTGCCATCCTTCCAAGCTATACTCTGACCCTCAGCACAAAGACCACCACTTGCAAACTCAAAGCTAAGCCAGGGGGTGGTGACGCAGACTTTTAATCCCGGCACTCAGGAGATGGACCTCGGAGTTTGAGGTCAGCCTGGTCTACAGAGAGTTCGAGGACAGCCAGAGAAACCCTGTCTCTAAAAAACAAAAAACAAAACCAAAAAACCCAAAACCCCTCAAAGCTATATCCCATCCCTGTTGGAGAGCCCTCTCTATTTCTCATCCAGGCTCCCCTCACCAAGCCAAGTGCTGACCCCACCTATGGTTCCCCAACTGCTCACAGAAGGAACACAGAAGGGTGTCCTGTGGTGCTCAATAGTCATGCCGCCAGGATCTAGAACCACCTACAAGACAAACCTCTGCTTAAGTCTGTCAGGGAGTCTGGATTAACTGAGGTGGGAAAGCCTACCCTGAATAGAAAGAAGTGAGCTGAGCACCAGCATCCATCTCTCGCTGCTTCCTGACTGTGGATGTCATGTGACCAGCCGCCTCACGCTCCTGCTGCCAAGCCTTCCCCAACACGATGGACCGGACTGCAGGAATCCCATCAAACTCAGAGTCAAAACGGACACTTCCTCCTTTCCACTCCCTTTGTCATTGCCTTAGCCAAGAAGAGCCTGTGTTGTTCCCACATCCAATCAGAGGCTCTGGCGCACACTCCAAGGGTGGCTGGGGACTTTTAAAGGTCAGCCTGGGAAATGTGGCAGGGAGGGGCTGGCAGCAGGTGGCTCAGATCTTTGACGATCCTGTACCAGACACGGGGCTGGCTGGCCGTGCACAGGCGCTAGCTCCTTCCCACCTGCCTGAGCATCTTCTGACTTCCACAGTTCCTTCCATCATCCATCATGCCACAGGGGAGCCACCTCAGACACTGCCTGACAGACAGCAGACTGAACCAGGTCACTAGAACCCGCCCATTGCACTAGGAGCCAGTGGTCTGCAGCTCAATGCTGATCCTCCAAGGAGGGTTGGAGAAGCACGTTTCACGGGGCCAGGACTGCGAGCATGCGTGCGTGCGTGCATGTGTGTCTTCAGACACCCTGTGGAGGAAGGGAGTATATAGTTGGCAATGCTGCTGGGGTCTGGGGGAGAAGCAGATTTCTTGGGAAGCGGGCTGTGGGGCTGAGCCGTAGTTAGGGAGGGGGCTTTGTCAATGGGGACACTGGATGGTTTCATTAGCCTGTAGTGGACAGGTAGTCAAATATACAGGTGAAATTTGGCATTTTTTTTTTCTGAGACAGGGTCTCATGTAGCCCAGGCTGGCCTTAACTTGTGATCTGCTTCCATCTCCTGCATGCTGGGCAAGCACTGTCTCACTGTCCACCGAGCCATACCCCGCTCTGAGCTTTTCTAGTCTTTCAGGCAGACACAAACCCCTGGAGCCCACGATCCCGTAACCCTGCCTAGGGGGTCTGTCTGTGTCTCCCAATACTTTACAACAGCCCATTTTCCTTCCGCTGCTAGGAGCTGGGAGCCGCTCAGCCGAGTACTTGCCTCCAACGTACTAGGCCCTGTCCACAATCCTCAGCGCTGCAGGAAAACACAAACAAAATCCCCATAGGGAACCTTGACTGCTAACTGGCATGCCACTTGGGTCACCTCTGAGGCTGGGCCAGCAGGGGGTGGAGTGACCTCCACATCTATAAAACCAGGAGATGCCAAGAAGTGGGCAGACAGCACTGAAGACACAAGAGTAGAGCTCAATGTCACATCCCCCAGAGCTGCAGACACTGTCACGCCAGTCCCACCCACAGAACACAGAGACCCAGCTTCCTTGAAAGGACCCACTGTAGCTAAATAGTGGTGGTGGTGGGGTCTCTGGAAGGCTGGTAGGCAGAACCTAGGCCCTAGCTCCTCGCCCGATGGCAAGATATGTGTTGTTTTGATGCCTGTGGAGTCAGCCCTAGGAAGAAAGCAGGGAAGAGAACCTGAGATTCCTAAACTAGCGGGAGTTAAGAAAAAAACAAATCACCTAGGTGTGGTGGCACGCCTTTAATGCCAGCACTCAGGAGGCAGAGGCAGGCAGCTTTCTATAAATTCAAGGCCACTCCGATCTACACAGGGAGTTCCAGGACAGTCAGGGCTATAAAAGAGACCCTGCCTCAAGAAAACAAATAACACAACGACAAGAAATCAGCTAAGATGCCAGGCCTACAGCTTCCTAGAGAGAGGGGACTCTGGGAGGGAGGTTAGAATACAAGGGGTTCACCAGACAAAGATTTTGGAGTAACCCTGAGGGAGGGAGCCACTGTCAAAAATGCAAAGAATTAAAAAAAAAAATCCAATTCCCCTTCTGGATCAACGTTCTCCCAAATAAAGTAAGAGCATCCAGAGCTCTAGGCTGTGGGAATGGGGTGCAGTAGCTACGAAGCGGACAATGCTGGCCCTCTAAACCTGTCCCAGATGCAGTAGGCTGGTGGTTTTGTCTCCCCTCCAGGCTGGCCTCCTGGACCCCAGGGCTTTTCCAATCACTGTATTGCCTACATATTCAAATTAAAAATCTATGGTGGCTCAAAATGTCCCCATGTGTGCACACATGAGGTGGGGTCCTTGCCCGTGTCCTGCGCACACAGAATATATTAACATATATATTGCTCAAGTAATATATGCTATTTACAGAATATATCTCTATGAACATAAAACACGTATTTATAGGTGTGTACAATACACAGTTTCATCCTAGCAAGTCTAGGGGCCACACAACTCTGGGGCAGGGGACATAGGGTCAGCACACTTACACAGTGGAAAGGGATACCTGGAAGGCGGGACCAAAGGGATTATAGAGGTGCGCCCTGGACAATCAAGGCCTCGGAGGATGAGAAGAAGGGGACTCAGGGGCCTCACTATGGCCCTGTCTACTTGGCCATTTCCCTTTTGGGAGCAGAGAACAATTGGACAAGATTTGGTTGTTTTGTGAAAACGGAATCCAAAAACAAAACAAGCAAAAAAAAAAAAAAAAAAAAAAAAAAAACCCAAACCCCACCAGAGGTCATTTTGAGTAGCATGCTGGGTTCTGAGCTTCTACAGGGTTCTAGAGTAGGTCCTCCACCTGGGTATGCTCCTGTAGCCCAGAGAAGGGAGAAACGCAGTTCATACTGAGACCTGTGCAGGGTTAAACACACATTCCCTTCTCTGACCTTGTTGGAGACAGCATACTACAGGCCCGAGAAAACACCCCAAGAGCCTAAGTCTGGTGGACCCTGTAGTCCTAGCTTATGGTATCACTCTCGGGCGCTCTTACTGCTCTTACTGGGGTGCCCTGCAGAGGATACTATGGGGGTCCTGGTGTCTTGTGCCAGAACTCTGCTCCCAATCACTCTCCTCAGAAGACAAGGCCAAGATTCTTAGGATCCATCCTTGCATTTGCGTCTGTCCAGGAGAAACAGGGTGCTGCTAGGTGCTGCTGAATGCTGGGCACCCTTGTAAGACTCAAGCAGGCCCCGTGTCCTTCAAACAAAACCACTCCTCCCCCAGCCACCTGTATGCAAACAACTGAATAAAAAACCCCAAGTGTGACTTTTTTCTCTCCAAATGCTCATGACAGCTGCCTCCTAGCTATCACCATGGTCACAGACTGCTGAGTTACTTCAGGCAGGTATGTGAGCTGGGGGCCAAGGCCTCTTTGTCCCCTCCGAGTGGGGTAGAGAGATGAAGGGGGAAACTCTAGGCTGGTCTAAGTGACAGCTGGGGAGGTGGACATGGCCCAAGGCACTCCAGGCCTGGGCTGGTGGGGCTGTCCATTGCTGGGAGCGAACGGAGTCTTTGCTTGCCCGTGTTGGGTCCAGGCAGAGCGAACAAGGGACAGATAGAAGCTGGTGCTCTAGGCTGGTGGGAAAGGAGGGGTCCTTGGATTCTGTCCTCCTCCAAGGTGGCTCTTGGTGGAGGGTGATCCAGGATCCCTCTTGGCAGTCGTAGTGGGAATCAACACAGGCCCCGCGTGGTCAGCAGGTGGGGTCTAGGGTCTTGGGTTGTTTCCCTCAGGCTTGGTGGTAGGGGGCCCACTGCCACTGTCCAAGGCTCACTGACCATTATGACCTGAGGGTGACCTGCTGGCCTCCGTCCTGAGGGAACCAGCCCCTGAGCCTCTGAGATTAGAGCAGCAACCATACCATTCATCCTGAGGGGTTCCTCACGGGGGCTTCCTCAGCTCTGTACACCCACTCTTGTGGCACCGACTTCCTAAGATGTCCCTTGGTGCATCAGGACCCCAATCCCAACGTCTTGTGGGCGGTGCCAGCTTCCTTTGGTGTTTGCTGGGGGGTGTATGTGAGGCCTTGGGCTCTCTCCAAGCCCCCTGGGCCTCAGAGAGCACATTCTGGGGTGGAACTTGGGGGAGGAAGATGGGCACGCCCCCACTGGGGGGAAACCGAGTCATTATTGAAAAGGCTGGGGATTCTGGAAGGCTGGAGGTGGATGTGGGGGTGGCCTTGGTTTGGGTCCAGGCCTGGAGGAGTCAGGAACCAGGGGTGTGTCCCAGATGCCCTTTCCGTCGGGTCCCAGGGCCGATCTTTCAGTCCGTAGGGAAATACTGCGAGAATAACCTTCGTGGGGGGAAAGGGCCAAGTGGACTGCAGCTAGGAGGAGCCCAGAGATGAGCCTTTCCTAATGCTTCCCTCCTTGACTGACCTTCAGGGCATGGATAACCCCGCTGATGTTCTCTTCTGGAACCTAGAGGGCAAAAAGCGAAAGAGAAAAAAAGTGCATTAGCCCAGGAACCTGTTCCCTGCCTGTGTAGTCCCTGCCTGCTCCCAGAGACTACTCACCAGTGCATGGTCGAACTTGAAAGTACTGATGTAGTATGCCGGGATGTCTGCAGCTGCCAAGGGCTCAGAGATCTGGGCTACAATTCCACACTCGTCTAGGGAAACACAGATGCTTAGAGCCTAGGCAGGGGCTCTACCACTGAACCATGCCCCCAGCCCCTCACTGGGGGATTCTAAGCAGGGGCTCTACCACTGAGCTACATCCCAGCCCCTCACTGGGGGATTCTAAGCAGGGGCTCTACCACTGAGCTACATCCCAGCCCCTCACTGGGGGATTCTAGGCGGGTGCTCCCAGCCCTTCACTGGGGTATTCTAGGCAGGTGTTCTATCACTGAGCCACATCCTAGCCCCTCACTGGGGGATTCTAGGCAGGTGCTCTACCATTGAACCACGCCCCAGCCCCTCACTGAGGGATTCTAGGCAGGGGCTCTACCACTAAGCCACACCCCAGCCCCTCACTCGGGGATTCTAGGCAGGTGAGCCCCCTCAGCACTCACTTTAGAATTCTAGGCAAGCATTCTACTGCCAAGTCTCGCTTCTAGCTCCAATGTCTTAATATTTCAGCTGTGGGGGGGATAAGAGCCCCCCTCATTGGTCTCCTGAGGCCTTCATATACTCGTCATACCACAGGCAAGGGATCTGTCAGAATGGGGACTTCAGGCTCCTTCTATGGATTACCACGTAAGTGTGGAGCTGGCCAGGTACCCCAGGAACGACTGCATGGATCCCTGCCTACAGGTGTCGGACCCCATGGGCTCACCAAATCCAAGGGGCTGTCCTCCTATCCGCACCATCTTCCAGAGCTCTCCAGATGCACTCGTGAATAGCAAGTGACTCGGGAACCTTTAAAGGAGGAAAGAGGACTCTGAGGCTGGTGCTGACTGGTGCTCCCCCAGCTCTGGGGAACCTTCTCTGCTTGGGGGCGGCACTATAGGGCCAGAGTGACAGAGTGGCTGTTCCTGGGGTGGGAAAGAGCACAGGCTCCAAGGATATGTCAGTTCCACTGGGGTCAGTGAGGGAAGGCAATGGGACTCAGGAGGTAGCTGGCTCTGGGACTGTGGTTCAAATCTTCACTTTGGTACCATCATGCTGTGGACCTGGGCTGACCCCTGCACCTATAGGAACATCTCCAACGAAGGGAGTCGGGCAGACTGAGTAGGAAGAAAATACATGCTCCCGCCCGGGCCCCCTTAACATCCACACAGGGCCCTGCCCACCTCTGCTGGGTTTGTACATCCATCACCAGTGAGATGTAGCCCTCAATGAGTGAGAAGGAGAAGAAGCGGATGTGGCCACAGTCGTCACTGGCAGCCATGGGGTCCTTCACTCTGGGGATCAAGAGGCAGCTGTGAGGGTGTGGCTTCTGCCACATCCTCCATGCTATCTGTCACCCACCAGTCTGGCAGGAACGGTTGTCCTGCCTTGTGTCGTGCCTTCATCAAAAGCCCATGACTCAGGGAGTCATCGACCCCGAATGTTACATTACTGACCTGCCGGGTAAGATGTGACCTCTGGTGCCATAGCGGCGTGACAGTTATCAGGACAACCAACCACTTTCTGCTTGAATCTAGGACCTGCTTCACATGGGGGAAATTCATGTTTACATGACCATGTTTACATGTACCATAAGCCGGGTCAAAAGGCTATGGCTTGGGAGGTCACAGGCCCTAGGGAAAAACCTATTGCCATTCTGCCTTCTAGATATTTATATTCAGACTGATGGATTAGGGCCGCTCTCAACCGCAGCCAGAGAAGCATTCTTTCTCCATCAGGCGGCAGTGAACATACAGACTTACCTGGCCAAAGTGCTGGGAGGGGCTACTGAGTGTTCAGCTCTACATGGGACCCCGGCCCCACCACCAAGGCTCAGAATCCATCATGAGAGAGAGGGTGGAAAGACCGTAAGAACTAGATGATAGGCACACACGTCTCCCCCTTTAGACTGGGTTCTTGGGTAGAACAGTGCCTCTCTCCTCAGACTGGGCTCTGTACTGGCTACTTTTAATGTCAACTTGACACAAGCTAGAGTCATCAGAGAGGAAGGACCCTCAGTTGAGGAAATGCTGCCATGAGATCCAGATGTAAGGCATTTTCTCAATTCGTGATCAACGGGGGAAGGGCCCAGCCAAACCAGCCCTCGGTGGGTGGTGTCATCCCTGGACTGTCAGTCCTGGGTTCTGTGAGGAAGGCTGAGCAAGCCAGGGGAAGGAAGCCAGTAAGCAGCACCCCTCCGTGGCCTCTGCATCAGCTCCTGCCTCCAGGTTCTTGCCCTGCTGGAGTTGCTGTCCTAAAGGCCTTTGATGATGAACAGCAATATGAAAGTATAAGCCAGATAAACGCTTTCCTCTCTGACTTGCTTTTTGATCGTGGCGTTTTTGATGCAGCAACAGAAACTCTGAGTAAGACAGGCTCCTCGGTGGAACCATACCTCTTTCCTCAGCCTTGTTTCTAGGGCAGATCTGTGTCTCCCCTTCAGATTAGGCTCCTGGGCAGAACGTGTCTCCTCCTGCAGATCGGACTTAGGGGTAAAATGAGGTCTCTGCCCTCAGAGCTCCTGGATGGGGTGGTATCTCCATGTCTACTCCTTACCCCAACACCTACCCATTGGAGTAGAACATCACATCCATGAGAAGCGTGGCGACGGCGGGCAGCGTGTCGGGGTCCAGGCTGGTGACACAGAACCTGTTGCTAGGGCTGGATAACGGGTGGATGACTGGCCTCTTGACTGAAAGAACATAGGATACAAGTATTAAGGCCAGAGTAGCGCTTTTGTGTACAGGAGTTGGACCAAGCCCCCGACTTTGTTCATCACAGCCCATGTGGTTTTATTTCACCCCCAGCACACACTGCACTGATCTTAAATTTCCCTTCAGGGGGCTGGAGAGATGGCTCAGTGGTTAAGAGCACTGACTGATCTTCCAGAGGTCCTGAGTTCAATTCCCAGCAGCCCTCTATAATTGGATCTGGTGCCCTCTTCTGGCATGCAAGCATACATGGAAGGAATGTTGTATACATAATAAATAAATAAACCCTTAAAAAAATTTCCCTTCAGGACCCTGGGCTTCTGTGTAAGCTGCTTAGCTGCTGAGAATGTCCTTCCCAACAGCCACCACCTGGCTCAGCTCCCAGTGCTTACGCTTCTGCTCCACGGTACCCCCGATAGGTAGCCACCCTGACAGAGATGCGAGCCATCTCTGGCCACTGCTAGCCACCCCACCTGGAACCCAGTGAACACCAGGTGGACTCTAGGAGTCGGGCTTTCTGCTGGGGACACGCCCCTCTCTTCCAACTTACCCATCTTGGGCTTCACAAAGCCATTGGTGATGCTGAGATTCTCGGCTGCTACCGTTTCTCCATTGACAACCCGAAGAATGGTGAACTCCGAGGACAAGGTGTGAGTGACGAAGGGCAGGTCACGCTCGCGCACCTGAGGACGGGAAGAAGAGTACCTGAGCCCCAGCTCATCCCACCTCCTGTCATAGTGCACAAGGCCGGGGCGAGAAGAGCAGCGGACGAGACAGGAGGAGAGTGCTGGAAGTGATGCGCGTGCAGATGGGACAGGAGAAGCGTGCTGGAAGTGGTGTGCGCGCAGACGGCACAGGAGAAGAGTGCTGGAAGTGGCGTGCGCGCAGACGGCACAGGAGAAGAGTGCTGGAAGTGGCGTGCGCGCGCAGATGGGACAGAAGCGTGCTGGAAGGAGTGCGCGCGCGCAGACGACACAGGAGAAGAGTGCTGGAAGTGGCGTGCGCGCACGTTAGAAGGAGAAGGTTAGGAGCGTGCACAGCCGGACTCTGACTGTATGGAAGCGTGCATAACATAGCTCTGACTCACCAGGATGAAGTCAGTCTGATAGGTGGACAGCATAAACACGGAGATGTTCTGGTCTGCCAGCGGGGCGATGACAGACTTGGCGATCTTCGTCACACCGATGGGTTGGGAGCTGGAGAAGCTGCCGCCACCAGACACTACATTCAGGGCCAGCCAGGTGGCATCTGCCACACTCAGGTGCTCGGAAGAAGGCAGCTCTGCAGGGAGCAGGGGACACAGATGATGATGTTGGTCACTGCCTGGAGCCCAGGTATTGCCAGGTTGGCTGGTTGGAGAGGTAGGCAGAGGTGTGGGGATTGGCTGAGACCCTAGAGATGGTCTTGCTTGTCTTTAGGCCTCAGCTTCCTCATTTAAACATTTTTATTAATTTATGTGTATGTGTGTGTCCTACGTGGTTATATGCATACGAGTGCAATTACTGAGGAGGCCAGAAGAGGGCGTTGGATGCCCTGGAGCTGGAGTTACAGGCATTTGTGAGCCACTAGACATTGGTGCTGGGGAGCAAACAGAAGTCCTCTGCAAGCAAGTGCTTTTAACTATTGAGTCATATCTCCAGCCCCCAGTGTCCTCATTTAATCAACGGGAGAGCTAAAAGGTCCTTTTAAGGGAAGGCTAAGCAGGTGATATTCTGGATGGCTTATGATGCTAGGTAACTCAACGGGACCTGAAGCACTTGCCAAATTGTTGTTTTATCTGTCTCTAGCCTTAGTGTTCTCCACTGTAAAGGAGAGTTGGCAATGCCTTCATGATTTATTGCTTTATTTTATGTGCATGTTGTCCATGTTTGTGTGTGTATCACATGTGTGCCTGATGCCTGTGGAGGCCAGAAGAGGAAGCTAGATTCACTGGAGCTGGAGTTAAGAGATGGAAACAACCATGTGGGTGCTGGGAATCAATACCCAGTCCTCTTAACATCTGAGCCAACTCACCAGCCCTGAACTCCTTTTTTTTTTTTTTTTTTTTTGAGATAGCGTTTCTCTGTGTAAGAGCCCTGGCTGTCCTGCAACTAGCTCTTGTAGACCAGGCTTGCCCCAAACTCACAGAGATCTGCCTATCTCTGCCTCCTGAGTGCTGGGATTAAAGATGTGTGCCACCACCGCCCAGCCTGAATTCCCACTTTTTAAATTAAAAATTTAATCTGTTTTTAAAGATTTTTGTCTTTATAAACTAAACCCCCACTTTTATTTTTAACATATATAGGTGTTTGCCTGCATGGATGCCTATATACACCACATTTGTGCCTGTTGCCTTAGGAGGCGAGATCCCCTGAAGGGGGTGATTTCATGGGACTGGAGTTCGTTACAGATGGGTGTGAGCCGCCACGTGGGTGCTGGGAATGGAACCCAGGTCCTCTGGAAGAGCAGCCAGTGCTCTTAACTGCCGAGCCATCTCTCCAGCCCCAGAGTTTATTTCATTTTTAATTGCGTGTGCACATATGAATGCAGTTGCCCTCCAAGGCCTGAAGAGGGCATCTGACTCCCTGGGAACCAGAACAACGGACGGTTATGAGCCACTCAGTGTGGGTACAGGGAACCAAAGTTGAGTCCTTTGCAAGAGCAGCAAGCGCTCTTAACTAATGAGCCATCTTCTAAGCCCCTTACTTATGATTACCACGTGTAGCCCTGTGTGGCTATGAGGTATCCGAGTGGCTGTGCACGCCCAGGTGTGTGTGTGTGTGTAGAGGTCAGAGGAGAACCGTGTGGAGTTGGTTTTTCTTCTTCTATTTTCACATGACTGAGTTCAGGTCACCAGGTCTGCACAGCAGGCAACCTTACCCACCAAGTCAACTCACCACCCCCACCTTTTTTGGGAGGGGACAAGACTGGCCTTAAACTAGCTATGTAGTTGAGGATCCCTGTGCCTCCTCCGCCTCTTGATCACTGGGATGACAGGCATTATGCCACCACTCAGGTTTCTGCAGGGCTGGGCAGGGAACCCGGGGCTTTGTGCACGCCAGGCAAGCACTCTGCCAACTGAGCTCCAGGCCAGGAATCCCAACTTCTCTCAACCTTTCTGTGTGTCGTATGCTGTTAGCATGTTAGTCACACCTGCATACTAGACTTAATCTGGAAAAAGAGCCTGAATCCAGATGCCTGAATGGCACGGTCCTGGGTCCCATCCAGCAGGGTCAGGCTCCAAGGAGTCCTCCTTGGAGATAAGACAGGGCATGAGTTACAGACACCCAAATGCTGTGGAGCTATATTTTTATTATATATATGTTTATTATGTGTGTGTGAGCGTGCGCATACATACACACACTTTATGTGCATGAACACCTTTATGCCAGAAGAGGGCATCAGATCCCACTATAGATGATTGTGAGGCACCATGTGGTTGCTGGGAATTGAACTCAGGACTTCTGAAAGAGCAGCCAGTGCTCTTAACTTCTGAGCCATCTCTCCAGTGTAGCTATATTTTTAAACAGAAACATTCCCTTCTGGTGGAAGGCTCTGGAAAATCCAGGAAGTCAACAACAAAATGAGGATCTGGGCATGGTGTCACCGACCTTTAATCCTAGCATGTGGGAGGCAGAGGCAGGTGGATCTTTGTGAATTCACGGCCAGCCTGGTGGTCTACAGGGTAAGTTCCAGAAAGCCAGGATTACATCGTGAGACCATGTCTTGTTAAAACACTACAAATAAAGACTACCCAAACCCCAAATCTCATAGTGCTCAGGAAACTTACAAGACTCAGCCCCTGAAACAGTTGCTGGGCAAAGGAGGCTCTCTGGAGGCACTGCCCTTGGGTTGTGCAGGGAGCTCCCAGGCTGCAGCTTTCAGGAGTCACTGCCCAGGTGAGGGCTTTTCATGACGTAGCTGTAGCTGCCTTTAACTCATCTGTGTTCCTGAATGTAATCCCAATAGATTACTGTTCAGTAAGCCAGCCTTGGGTGGAATCATTTCTTGGGCCTGCCGTGGGTGGCCTATCTGGGGTGAAGACATGTTTGTTTGTATCTTCCCAGGAGACATCATACAACACCATGTATACATTTCTCCGTGGATATGAGCCCAGAGACTCAACTACAGGATTCTTCATAAAACCCCAGGCTCCTGCTAAGAACCCCTTCCTGCCATCTCATTCCTGGCACCTATCAGGACAGAGATGCGGCAAGAAGTGGACTGCAGTGCTATGCTCACCACAAGGACCCTGTAGCGGAAGCACGCCTGTCCACTCCGCACAAATGCTTAAAAGGGACCATCAATCTGCCCACTATCTCCAGACCAGGAGCAACCAGGCTAAGATCCAAAGATGAGGCCAGGTGGAGTGTAGCAGGAACTGAATACCTGTAACCCCGGCTTCTTAGGAGGCTGAAGCAGAAGACGCTTGAACGCCAGGCTAGCCTGGGCTGCAAAGTGAGCTCGAATTCCAAAAACAAGACAAAGCAACAACAACAAAAAACAGAAACAGACAAAATCAAACCAACCCAACAACAACAATAAAAAAAAAAAAAGGAAAGAAGAAACCAGGGCTGAAGACACAAGTGTGCTCGGCAGGGTGCCTCTCTAGCATCCAGAAAGCCCTGGGTTCCAGCCCCAGCACTGCACAAAATCAGAAGTGATGGCACACGCCTGCAGTTCAGCACTCAGAAAGTGGAGGCAGGAGGGCCAGGAGTTCAAGGTCATCCTTGGTGCGACCAGTCTGGGGGATATATATATATAGATATATATATATCTATATATATCTATATATATATATCTCAGATGGTGCCTTTGAGGTACATCGGACGGTGCCTCAAAAATAAATAAAATAAACCAATCAATCAAATAAAAAATTCAAACTCAGTGGACTTAACAAATTCAGGTCAGTCAGGAAGTGGTGGTGCACAAGTTTAATCCCAGCACTCGAGAGGCAGAGGCAGGTGGATCTCTTTGAGTTCGGGGCCAGCCTGGTCTATAGAGTGGGTTCCAGGACAGCCAAGGCTACACAGAGAAATCCTGTCTCCAAAAGGTTAAACCACAACAACAAAAAACAACAACAAAAAACCCATCCAGGCCCTGTCTTAAAGGCCAACTTCCTGAAGCGGTAAGTCCCCAAAGAGATGGGGTTGGGAGTAATGTCAGAGAATAAGAGGGGGAGGGGGCCGGGCCAGCTTCCAGAAAAGATGGCTTGGGAGGAGGGGATGCTGAATGAAGTCTATCAGAATCCTATCTGCCTAGCTCAGTCACCATGGTGACCACAGCCTAGGGGAAGCCCATTGGTCCTGCTGACTCAGAAGGGCCTGTGGTCAGCCAGCTAGTAATGGAGAGGCAGGTGGCTCCATAGGAGAGGGAGGAAGAAGGGCCAGGGGAGGGGTAATCCCTGGGTCTTAGGCTTCTGTGACTACCTGTTACCCATGAGGTGAGCTCTGTTCTTCCTACCTGTTTCTTCAGGAACAAGATTCCCAAGCCCTGGCCCTGCCCAGACCTTGCCTTGACTCAGTGCTGGGATTCTTTCCTATGTGTATGTGTGCACGTCTACCAAGTGTAGGTCAGAGTATAGCTGGTGTTTTCTTAATGGCTCACACCTTTTAAAAAAGTTATTATTACTGTGTGTGCATGCATATATATGTGTATGTATGTATGAATGTATGTATGCAGGCCTGTGTGCCATGGCACACATGCTGAGGTCAAAGAACCACCTGTGAGAGCCAATCTTCTTTCTTTCACCATGTAGACCATGGGAATGAAACTCAGGTTATCAGGCTTGGTTGTGGGCACCCTTACCCACTGAGCCATCTTGCCTGTCTCCTCCCCGCCACTTTTTTTTGAGACAAGGTCTCTCACTGAACCAGACTGGCTGACTAGTGAGCACCAGAATCCTCCTGCTTCTGCAACTCTAGCTGTAGGGTGACAGGCACAAACCACGCCTTCCTTCCTTCCTTTTTTTTTTTTTTTTTTAAGAGACAGGGTTTCTCTGTGTAGCCCTGGCTATCCTGGAACTTGTTTTGTAGACCAGGCTGGCCTTAAACTCACAAAGATCCACCTGTCTCTGCCTCCAAATTGCTGGGATTAAAGGTGTGCACCATGCCACCACCAGTTGGCCTTTGCTTTCTTTCTTTATATAGGGGATCCGATCTCAGGTCCTCTTACTTGCTTGCCAAGTACATTACCAACTGGTCCATTTCCACAGCTTTTTGCTTTTAGACTTTTAAGGAGCCCAAACTTAATAACCAAGGGCTTCTTGGCGGGGGGTGGCATCTGAAGTCCCTACTGTCTCTTGGGGATTTCTGGGAGCCTGCAAATTCTGAAATGAAGCTTCGTGAGGTGGTCACCCTTCTCACCCCTGATGTCAACCACACCTCCTGCTGATGGCAAGTCGTGAAGCCCACACAGCAGCAAAGGACTTGGTAGTCACACTGCAATGTGTCCCATAACAAAGCAGACAATGGCTCCTGTCTTTGGAACATAACTTTAAGCCATTTTTGGGAAGATTCTGGTATGCTTGTTGGCACACATGCTCAGTGGTTAATGTCTTTTTTTTAATATTTATTTATTTGTTTATTATGTATACAGTATTCTGTCTGCAGGCCAGAAGAGGACACCAGGCTTCATTACAGATGGTTGTGAGCCACCATGTGGTTGCTGGGAATTGAACTCAGGACCTTTGGAAGAGCAGGCAATGCTCTTAACCGCTGAGCCATCTCTTCAGCCCCCAGTGGTTAATGTCTTATATATTAGAGTGACGATGACACCAGACAGACCTATTTATATAGTTTTATTATTAAAATTTTCATGTATGTATGTATGTATGTATGTGTATGTACGTTCATGTATGTGCAGGTGCCCACGGAGTCCAGAAGAGGGTGTCAGAGCCCCAGGAGCCAGAATTATAGATGGTTGTGAGCTGCCTGATGCAGATGTTAGGAAATGAACTCAAGTCCTCTGAAAGAGCAAGTGCTCTTAACTCCTGAGCCATCCCTCTAGTCTAAAGACAAGGTCTCATTGTAGCCCAGGCTAGCCTTGTATTTTCTCCATTAATGAACAGCTGATTCTTCATCTGTAAAATACGCATTTAACTTTACTCTGTGGGTTACCGGAATGATCTCAAGGTTCCTGCTGAATGCAAGGCTGTTGGGCCTGGTGATGAGAGCCTCCTGTTTTAGTGGCAGATATCATCTCAATCAAGACACACAACTTTGACTTTTTTCCCCCAAGGATAGCTATCCCTGGAGTATGGTTTTCCATGGGGGAAGTTCAGGAACTAGCAGGTGAGGTAAATCCAAGTTCCAAGTCATGATTTTATACTCTTGTAGGGAATGGAACTTTGGGCTTTGAATATGGACAACAGCTCTACCATTGAGCCATACCCCAGCCCCTGACTGGGGGATTCTAGGCAGGGGCTCTACCACTGAGTCACCTCCCAGCCCCTCACTGGGGGATTCTAGGCAGGTGCTCTACCACTGAGTCACCTCCCAGCCCCTCACTGGGGATTCTAGGCAGGGGCTCTACCACTGAGCCACACCCCAGCCCCTCAGTGGGGGATTCTAGGCAGGGGCTCTACTACTGAGCCACACCCCAGCCTCTCACTGGGGATTCTAGGCAGGGGCTCTACCACTGAATCAGATCCCCAGCCCTTCGTGCTTATAGTGTTTTGAAAGAAAATGCTCCCAATAGGGAGTGGCACTTAGGAGGTGTGGCTATATTGGAGTAAGTATGACCTGTTTGGAGGAAGTGTGTCACAGTGGGAGTGGGCTTCCAAGTTTCCCATGCTCAAACTATGCTCAGTGTGACTCACAGTTACTTCTGCTGCCTGTGGATCCAGATGCAGAAACTCTCAGCTTCTTCTCCAGCACGGTGTCTGGCTGCGCACTGCTATGCTTCCCATCATGACAACAGCAGACTAAACCTTTGAACTGTAAGCCAGCCCAGTCAAATGTTTTCCTTGATAAGAGTTGCTGTGGTCACGGTGTCTCTTCACAGCAATAGAAACCCTGACTAAGACAGGGCTTGTACACAAGATCTTCCACTGTAACTCAGGTTCTCTCTGAAGGACTGATCTTCCTACTCAGTCTCTTAGATACGGGGGTTACAGACCTGTGCCTCCCCTCCTGTCTCTCTCCACAGGCTTCTGAACATTGACTGCCTCTTCGTTTTTCCAGAACTCCAATACCAGTGAGAAAGTTCAGTGGCTCTCTCTGCCCTGTCATCAATACAAGTGGTGCACGAAAGAACAAAATAAATGCATTTTCATTTTGCAGAGAGCCTCTGGGGGGGGGGCGGGGAATCAATGTAAAGCTGGACACTGGGTTTTGGGGGTGTGGCTCAGCAGTACACCTCATGTCTACCATGGGCACAGCACTGAGAATCGTCTCTGGAGCTGCAAAGACAAACGACTAAATAATCAAGTAAAGCTTAATGCACGGCATTAATTTTTGTTGTCATTTTGAGACAAGGGTCTCTCACTGTGTAGTTGTGGCTGGCCTAGAACTCACTCTTGTAGACCAGGCTGGTCCTGAACTCACAGAGACCTGCTTGTCTCTTCCCCGCACATACTGAGATTACAGGTATGTGCCATCACACTTGGCTTGTCAACAAACTGCTCAAACAAGGAAGTAGGCATCAGGGTTTTGGGAGGAGAGGTGTAACTGCTAATGGGCAGAAAGCTTCATTGAGAGGTGATTAAACAGCCCCCCTCAACCACTGAGGGGCCAGGGATACTGTAGAGTGCTGGCCCAGCAGGGATGAGAACCAGGGTTCCGCCCCAAGTGTGGCATAACCAGGTCTGGTGGCAGACACCTATAAAGTAAGCACTAGATACAAGGAGGGTCAGAAAATCAAGGCCATCTTCAGCTGTGTAGAGAGTTCAAAGCCAGCCTCGGGTACTTGAGACTATCTCAAAAACCAAATACAACAACCTGCTACACTTCTACTTCAAAAAAGAAATGGCGATTCATTTTTGAAATATCATTATTATATCTTGTGTGTATGGGTGTTTTGCCTGCACATATGTCTGTGTATCATCTGTGTGCTTGGTGCCCACAGCTGCCAGAAGGAGGATTGGATCTGGAGTGAGAGATGGTGGGAGCCACCGGGTGGGGCTGGGAATCAAACCCAGGGCCTCTGGAGTTTCACCTTGTCTTCTTAACCACTGAGCCATCTTTTTAATCCTCAAAAGGATAAATTTTATGATAACCAAATGACATTTAAATTAAAAAATGGAAAAATAAGGATAGAGAGATGGCTCAGGGGTTAAGAGCACTTACTGCTCTTGCAGAGGACTTGGTTGTGGTTCCCAGCATCCCCATGGTCGCCAGTAAGCCCAGTTTCAGAGGATCTGATGCCTTCTTTTGGCCTCCACAGGTTTCTGCATGCACATGGTACACATACATATATTCTCTCCCTCTCTCTCTCCCTCTCTCTCTCTCTCTCTCTCTCACACACACACACACACACACACACATGCACATTAACTAAACACATAAAAATAATTTTGTATGAAAAACATTAAAGAAAAGAAAGAGAAATGGGAAAAAATTAGGCATAATGTCACATTCCTATAATTCCAGCATTTGGGAGGCTGTAGAGGAGGATCATAAGTTAGCCTGAGCTATATTGGGACCTTATCTCAGAAACAAACAAAACAAATAAACAAATGCCAGTGAGATGGCTCAGCAGGTAAACGCGCTGGCACCAAGCCTGAGGATCTTAGGGTAACACCTAGAGCCCACATGGAAGGGTAGAACTGACTTTCACAGGTTGCCCTCTGACCTCCACACCCATGTTCTGCCATGTGTGTGCACATAGACACACAATAAACCAATATATGTAAAAGGTAAAAAAAAAAGCCATCACCACCAAACTTCAAATTTCTAAAAGACAAAACAAAACACCCCAAACAGATTCCCTCCACCATCTTTTTTTTTTTAACAACAAAGAAAATAGAAAAAGAAATAAGGAGGCAGGCAGGTGTCCCACTTTGTGATGGGAGACTCTTACCAAGGAAACCTTCCTCATCCACGATGATGGTGTAGTCCTCAGGGGTCTCTGTCAGACTGAAAAACTTGCACCTGAGCAGAAAGACACAGGAATATCTGGTTAGTTTGGGAAGCCCCCCTGCTGAGTCACAGGTGCTCTACCACTGAGCCACACCCCAGCCCCTCACTGAGGGATTCTAGGCAGGGGCTCTATCACTGAGCCACACCCCAGCCCCTCACTGGGGGAGTCTAGGCAGGGGCTCTACCACTGATCCACACCCCAGCCCCTCACTGGGGGATTCTAGGCAGGGGCTCTACTACTGAGCCACACCCCAGCCCCTCACTGGGGGATTCTAGGCAGGGGTTCTACCACTGAGCCACACCCCAGCCCCTCACTGGGAGATTCTAGGCAGGGGCTCTACCACTGAGCCACACCCCAGCCCCTCACTGGGGGACTTTAGGCAAGTGCTCCACCAAGAGCCATGTTTTAGCCCCTCATTGAGGGATTCTAACTAAGCAAATGCTCTACCACTAAGCTACATCATCAAGTCCCCTGTGTACTCTCTGGTATATAGTGGCGGCTGCAAAATCCTACATCTCTACCAAACCCAAAGAACTGTCCACTAAAAAGGGTGACTTTTTTTTTTTCTTTTTTTGAGATAGTCCAGGCTGGCCTCCAATTCATTCATCACTCATGTCGTAAGGCTGACCTGCATGTCCCAGTCCTCCACCCACTAAGGGCTGGGATTACAGATGTGCACCACCACAGCCGGCTAAAAGAGCAGCACTTGCTATGTGTGAATGGCATGTCACAAACCCGATCTCCAAGGGGCTGAAGACACGGCTGTGATCAACCGCACTTACTGCTCTTGTAGAGGGCTTGGGTTCGGTTCCAAGCATCCGTATCAAGAGGCTCACAACTGCCTGCCACGCCAGCTCCCTCTGACCTCCCTGTGGTGCGCATCAACCTCAGCCAGGCACATTCATGCACATCCTTATAAATAAAATCCTGAAACAGAACAACCAGCCAACAAACCCGATCTTCAAGAGGATGCCTGTTTGACCAGGTGACACACACTTCTTGTGTCGTTGGTTTTTCTGATGAGTCACTAGCACACACTCAGCTCCAGCTCCTCTTCCCCTTTTCACCTGTGTCTGTGCACACGTGAGCAGGCTGTGGTGCACGTGTGGAGGTCAGGGGACAACTTGCAGGATGAGGTTCTCTCTGTTCATCAAGTGCGTTCTGTGGACTGAGCTCAGGTCGGCCGACTTAGCCGCAGGCCCCTTTTACCCACTGAGCCATCCCGCCAGAGTCGGCTTCCTAGTGACATCTCTATCCATGCCTGTTCCATAGCCCACTTGTAACTCTTTTAGAGACAGGGTGTCTCTGTGTCACCTTGGCTGTCCTGGAGCTCACTCTGTAAACCAGGCTGGCCTCGAACTCAGAGATCCACGTGCTTTTGCTTCCCAAGTGCCGGGATTAAAGATGTGCACCACCACCGCCTGGCCATTTTATAATTATGTAACTGCCTCAAAGAGTAACAACACTAAACGGTCATCTTCTAAGTGGCAATCAATATTCTAGGAGGGGTGTTCCTTCATAGGGGTCCCACATCCTCAGAGAGAGCCCTGAAGCTTCCCGCTTCCAGATGGCCCAAACAGGTGCATGCTGGGAGGGATGGGCCTCCCAGCTGCCTGAGAGAGAGAGAGAGAGCCTGGTATACAGGAATGGGCAAGACACATACTCCAGTCACCCTCAAAGCTGTAGGGACACTCCAGAAATAGACCGGACACATTGGTCTGGAGGGCATAAACACCAGCAGACGGCAACTAGGGCCTCTGTGGACACGAGGTATAAATAAATAAGTTGTTGAAGTGACATGTCCCAGGGGGCCAGCCAGCTGCTGGACGTCCATCTCAATTCATTGTGCATACCGCCTCAGAGAGGGCCTTTAAGACAGAGGAGACGGAGGGACCTGCTGCTCTCACTGGTCACCAAGTGGCCTGTGTCTGTGAACTTCACCCCACCTGACCCTCCAGGACAGCAGTTCTCAACCTGGGGGTCATGGCATATCAGGTATCCTGCATACTAGATAATTATTACAATTCATAACAAAAGCAAAATTACAGTTATGAAGTAGCCAACGAAATAATCTTACAGTTAGCGGTGTGTGTGTGTGACCACATGAGGAACTGTATTAAAGCATCACAGCATTGGGAAGGAACCTCCAGGATATACAGATGTTTCCTTCCCTTTACTGTTTGTATATGTGTTTGTGTGATGCACACATGCGCGCTAATGCGTGTGCCTATATATATCAACGGCCAGAGAAGGGTGTTGAGTGTCCTCCTCCCCTTATTCCTTTGCGGCAGGGTCTCTCTAGAACATGGAGCTTGCTCTGTTGCTTAGCTGGCAGCCAGCAAGCCCCAGTGATATCCTGTCTCTCCACCCCCACCCCCACTACAGGGCATTCCAGGCTATACCTGGGTGCTAGCTCCTCATGGTTGCACCCAGACCCAGGATAGCCTGGAACCGGAAGCAATTCCCCTGCTCCAGCTTCCTGAGGATTAAGATTACACGTACCACGTCTTCTGTTCTTTCCTTCTTTGTGTGTGTGAGTACACATGTGGTCCACCTCAACCATAGCTGTTATTAAGGTGGGTGATGCCATTCACCGTAATGTATTTTTTAAACATTTATTTATTTATTTGCTTATGTATTGAGTTTGTGGGTGTGCCAGACTGTATGCGTAGAGCTCTCAGGACAACCTGTGGGAGTTGGTTCTTTCTTTGCATCACGTGGAATTAAACTCAGGTCATCAGGTTTGGTGACTAGTCCCTTTTCCCACCAAGCTACCTCACTAGCTGGACTACTAGCTTCCCTACCCCCTTGAGAAAGGGTTTCTCTGTGTAGTTCCTGGCTGTTCTGGAACTCAAGCTGTAGACCAGGCTGGCCTCGAACACAAGAGATCCACCCGTCTCTGCTTCCTGGGTATTGGGATTAAAAGTGTGCACCACCACTGTCGGTCAGGCTACTACTACCTTTTTTGAGACAGTTTCTCACTGGCTTGCAGCTCACCAAGTAGGCTCGGCTAACAGCCAGTGAGTGAGTCCCAGCTCCTGGAACTTTACTGACTGAGCCGTCCTCGCGGGCTCCGTCTTCCTTTCTTCAGGCCTCCCCACTGTGTGAGCTCTGGTGGAGACTATCACCAGCTTCTACTTGGTCACCCTCCTTCACGGCCCACCTGCCCATCGTCTTAGCTTCACGTCTTCTGTGCTGCCCCCCTTCCCACTGTGGAGCAAACCTTTCCCTATTCAGACACTCCCTGCTCATCTTTATTACCTCAGTCAAGCACAATGGGAGGTAGGGCAGGGTACCAGCCGGCAGCCATCTCCTTTCCCTTTGCTAAGAGATGCTCCTCGCCGATGGCATTCCACAGTGTAAAGCTTTCCGCAAGGGGACTGGAGGACAGTGGGGGCGGGGTTGGGGCTGACCATGCATCACGACGTGACAGGGACCCTGCACACAGTGTGTACGATGAAGAACTCCTTTAATCAGTATGCAGTGCCAGCTCTAGTAGAGCACACTTGACATCACGGGTGCCATGAAGGATTGCTGTATGTTTGAACCAGATTGGGTGACACAGTGAGTAACCATTCTGGGCCAGCCTGGTATCAGTAAGTGCCAGGCCTGTTCCAGTCTTCAACTTCTGACCCTTCTGTGTCAGCTTCCTCCATGACTCACACCCCAGCCTCTCACTGGGGGATTCTAGGCAGGTGCTCTACCACTGAGCCACACCCCAGTCCCTCACTGGGGGATTCTAGGCAGGAGCTCTAATGTTGTGTAAGCCACACCCCTAGCGTCTGTTCCTTTCTTTCCTTGTACTGAGTTTGGACAAAAGTTGTCACAGTCTTCTTCCTTCTGCTGATGGGACTTGAGACCTGATGAATTTCCCATGTCCCTTGCTCTCTGCACAGCAGCCCATTCATCCTCCGAAGGATGCCCAACTTTCTGTCAACACAGGAAGATAAGAACAGAGGAAGTCAACCCTTGCCCATGAAGCAATCTGTGGTCCTGTGGCCAGGCTCCCCACATCCCAGACACTATTAACTGCAAATGACATTCCCTGAAGGGCCCAGCTCGGGTGTTGCCTGAGGCTGTTGACTGGTTGCCTAGTAACTCAAGTGCCCTGTTCTCTGGGTCAATGCCACTCAAACTCCCTGTCGATGGCCATGTTCTTTTAGCTGTCTGTCCTTGGTGGCCCGTGTTCAGCCTCATGTTTAGATAACCTTCACTATTCCTCCAGCCTAGACATCCCCTCCCTTCCACTTGACTCCACTTCCCTCCCTTCCAAGGCCTCCCCTATTTCTCCCTATCTGGCTCACCAAGCACCTTAATTTCTATGATACAGGAATCTACTGAAGTCTGTCTCAAAACCCTGAAACTACGTGCAGTTTGGCTTTTTGAGACAGTTTGTTTTTCTTTTCTTTTTTTGTAGCTAGCCCTGGCTATCCCGAAACTCTGTAGACCAGGCTAACCTCGAACTCAGAGATTGGCCTGCCTCTGCCTCCTGAGTGTTGGGATTTAAGGTGTGTGTCACCACCATGGGGCTGCAGTTTGGCTTTTAAGAATCGCTTTCAGTCGGGCGGTGTTGGCGCACGCCTTTAATCCCAGCACTTGGGAGGCAGAGGCAGGCGGATCTCTGAGTTCGAAGCCAGCCTGGTCTACAAGAGCTAGTTCCAGGACAGGCTCCAAAGCTACACAAAGAAATCCTATCTCGGGGAGAAGAAAAGAAAGAAAAGAAAACGGCTTCTTTCACAAACCGTGACTCCTTTCTGTATCCCTCAGGCACCTCTTTCCCACCACATTCTTCATCCTTGGCCTCTTTCCTTCCCAGGGCTCAAGTTTCCTCCAATTATAAAAAAAGGAATTGAAAGGGTTATTTATTTTATGTGTAGCCTGTAAGGGCCTGGTGCCCACGGAAGTCAGAAGAGGGCATCGGATCTCCTGGAGCTGGAGTTAGAGAGGGCTGCGAACCCCTCTGTGGGTGCTGGGAACAGAACCCGAGTCCTCTCAAAAAAGCAGCGAGTGC